AAGCCTTAAACCAAGTATTTTTAACCCACATTAATCTGATATTTGATGTTCTCTCTGATCCAAGACAACTTCACTCTTGTGCTACTTAACCCAATAGCCTAACTGATCTCTAAGTTTTTACCCTAGTCCTCCTAAAGGAGCCTTTTAAGAGGTGGATAATGTCCTGCTCTGCTCAGAACTGTGCCGTGACTTCCCATCTTATTAATAATAAAAGCTCAAGTCTTGAAAATGGTCTACAAAGTCCCACCTGCTGCTCTAACCTCATGTGCTACTGCTTTCCTGGCTGTGAGGTCAACCCCAATCATGCTGCCTCTTGCTGTGCCTCCAATACACTGGGCATAATTCCTCTCAAGGATTTGAAGTTGGTTATTCCATCTACCTGGCAAGTTCTTTCCCAGGTACCAACATGGCTCACACTCTTACTCTCTCCACACCTTTGTTAGTCTATCACCTTTCAACCTGACCTTTCCTTCCCTACTCACCACAAATGCAAACTCTCCCTACCTAAAACACTCTGATATCCTTCCCTATTTTTCATTTATCACCATCTAACATGTTAATGTTTTATTTATTTATTTTTCCTTTCTCTGTCTTTCATTAGAAGGATGGAAGCTCCATGAGAATAATTTGGACCTGTTTGTTCATTGCATATCCCCAGTACTTAAACAAGGTCTGAAATAGTAGATGCTTAATTAATACTAACAGATGTAATTTCTGTCTCTATTTTGTCAGATAAGGACCATCTTCAGTTTAGGTTTATACTCTTCAGTTCTCTATGACTTTTTTATATGGACATGAAAACTGTTTTTGAACTAGTGTGTTTTTTCAGATACTGCTGGATAAGCTGAGGATTGTTACAGAGGTGGTCTTTAACTATCTGGAAGGACTCGTCCTAGAATTAGAAGACTCTGCTGCCTCATTCAGTCTCTCATTATGCCTCCTTCTCCCTAATCTTCCCGAGTCAATGAATACACAACTGAAAACCTAAGAAATCCAAGAGGACGTCCACACTCCAGTCTCTATTGTGACTTGCTCTCCACTTGCAGCTAATCACTTTCTGCCCTCACCTTGTGCCATAGACTGGGTGAAGTGACTTACTAAATTCTGTCTAACCAAATGAGGTCTTTGGAGGAGTGGGTACAACACCAATTAGGTTGCAGGTCCTAGGGAATTCACCTGCACCGATTTATTTATGTGGTGATAGTGACTGAAAGATCATGGAAAATGATGCATTTCAAGTTATAGTCTGCTTAATTATAAATATATAACCATTATAAATGTATAGCTATTCCTGTCTATATTCACCAAATACTTAGCTACATATCTAAGAATAGTATTTGTGAGGGTAGTTTTCATCTAGCAACATCTACGTGGATGGAGATAGTGGAATGGCCATCTTCAAATCAAATTTAATATCCCAGAATTTCTTACCAGATTTATAATTCTTGGTTCCTTAATTACCTTTAACTCTTCTTTTATCAACATTTATGACAGATCTCTGATTATGATAATCACTATGTCTTAAAATCACAAGATGAACAATAACAAGGAGGTCATTTGGTCCATCATTAGGAAAACCTATCTAAATCATGTAGTATGTTGTTTTCTTCCCAAATACTTCTAGATAAGATATACAATAATTTTTTCTCTATATAGATTATTTGAAGATCATATGAAAGACTTTTTTTTTCCCGGTTGCACTGTATAGTTCAGTTTTAAAATAATTTGAGTTTACTTTAAGTACTTCATTAGAGTATAACATTCTTTTCCAATTTTGCTTCTAGAAAGTAGAATTAGAAAAGAAAGGCAGATAAAAGCATAGAGTTGTGAGCAGAGAGCAAAAGAGCAGGGATGAAAAAAATCTGGCAGAGAGAAATCAAGAAGAAATTCAAAGAGAAGTCGATGTTCAATATTGTCTTACTCTGTCTGTCTAATACATATATTTTTTAATTTCCAAGGGACTTGACCTGGCTCTTTTCTCTAGGTACCTGCTACTTGAATACAAAACACAAGCAGACTCAGGAATAACTAAGGGACAAATGGTTGATTGTTAGTTAATTGTGGTTAAAACAAGTCCAATTACTCAACAATAAAATGTATTCTATACCTAAGAGGGAAATCATATATTGTCCCAAAATTAACAACAATATAAGAAAATAGTCCTTTATTAAATAATAAAAAAGCAATAAAAAAACTAAATGTGTTCCATTTTAATGTATTTTAATAATAATACAAGTGTGTAGTAATAAAAATTCAATTTACATCTCGAAGAAGGAAAGGCAAAAGGCTCCACTCTGTAACTGATGAGTACTTAGAACATTTTTAGTTTTTAATGATTCCTGTAATAAACATTTCTGAATGTATTTGTTTGATATTAGATACATGTGTGTTAAAAACAAGACAACAGATCCCAAATGGTGTCACTTAGGCTAAACCTCATTAGGTCACCAAACTGAGACCTAATTACAGTTTCAGTCTCTTCCATATCGAGAATCTTAAATCACTCAGAAATCACCTGGTCAGCATTAGAAATGTCTACTAGAAGATGACCTTGTTACAACCAATTCTATTTTTGCTAGTATAACTCCCTTGTCTCCACTCCTTTCTGTCTGTAAAATTCTGTCATTGTATATAACTGTGGTGTTCACTTCTATCCGCTAGATGAAATGCCATTGATTCAAAAATCATTGAGTAAAATCAACAAGATTTTAAAAATTTACTCAGTTGAATTCTATTTCTTAATATGTTATCTGCAAGTGAATCCAAGGTGATTACTTAGCAATGTAATGGTTCACTCAAATCATTTTTAACTTTGATAATGCTAAGTAACACTTCCAACAGGTTGCATCCATTTACACTCTTATTATAATAAATTTTTATTCTGGAGCAAATCAGAAAGCCTAGATATAATGGCAGTTACAGACATTCCTAGAGACTAGATACAGACTTTTAATAAAAACTTTCATAAATGAGAACTCAAAAAACTGAAAATTCTTTGGGCTTTATCGAGCACTGGGGACATTCTTTTTCTCAAAGACAAAGTACTTGCTCCTACTGGCCAGCTTTTTGGAACGTTGCCAAAATTCATGGCTAACTGCTTCTTTTGTACATTCTAATAAGAAATTATAATTCAATTATTGTATTTTTTAAAATGTCCAATAACTGCAAGTGTGTTAAATATAAGTAACAGTTCAAGAGCATGCAGATCTCATTGACAAAGTATTTATATAAAGACAGGTAGCAGTCTCATAGAAATACTTGAAATTCTATCACTGAGTCTCTCACAGGGATTCCACTGTCTGTTGACATTAACATAAGAAAAGTAACCTATATGCAGAAAGAAGGTTGTATTCACATTAACATTCATGAAGGCTGAGCAGCTGAAGCCCTACACATCAAGTAGGGAATATATCTTTTGTCTACTGATGAGAAAATGTCTCAGTGATAAATGGTTACAGACAGGGGTGTCACAAGGGCAACAGCACACAAAACAGATCCGACAAATTAAAAACTTTTTTTTTTTTAAGTCTTCTCTTGCAGTTTTTTTTCTTCTTGGTAGTATTGTGGAGAGCATGCCTATCAAAAAGAAAAATATATCAATGCTGAATTCTTAACCTTTACTAAGGCACTTAGAGAAAACAACCCAAAAAACAAAAAGGAAAAAAACTCACATGTATTGAAAACAATTTAAAAAGTTTCAAAGGCTGTGAATTCAGACATTCTGAAAAGGAGTACTCTGCAATCTGCAAAACTCCTTCACGCCATCCCTGCCAGTGTGGCTCTGAAATGTACGTTTGTGGGCTTCCCTGGTGGCGCAGGCGGTTGAGTGCCGCACTGTGAGGCTGGCCACAGCCTCAGTAGTGCGGGTTCGATCCCGGCCGGCTGGTGAGAAGCGCACATGGCATGGCAGACCTCTCCTGTCTCCCCCGCCCCCCCGCTGCTCCCCTCAGCAGTGTATTTCAGTTGGTCTTTCTGTTCTGTTCGCCGCTCTGTCTCTGGTGAATCCTTTCACCCTTCCACGCATCTGACCTGTACCCCAGTTCTTGTATAAATAAATAAATCTTTAAAAAAAAATAAATAAAATGTATGTTTGTAACGTCAGTCCTGGGAAACACTACGCATGAGAACGCTTTACACTAGTTTACATAAAATTAAGCCTAACATTATATTAATTAAGTAAATTTGTGAGGAAAAAAATCATATATTATGATATGAGTCTGTTATTTAACACGTTAATGAGTCATAGACCCCCACAGTGACTACTAATGACTTTCAGTTAAATCTGAAAGCAAAGTAAGTTAAATTACAATTTGTAGACAGCCTCTGTCTCCTGCCTGGAGAATAGGAAGCCAAGGGCCAGGGCTCCAAGGGCAGATAAAGATTTTCCGTCGCCTGACTCTAGGTGGCTCACTTTCCTTACCTAAAATGACAAAGGCTGGAAAGAACGGCCTTCGCCTCCCAAGGGTTTCTTTCTAGTATTTTGTCTCTTCTGCATAATTCCAGAGGCGTCAGCATGAAAAGATGAATAAGCACAGTACAACTTTCTAAAATACAAATGTCAACACCGTGCACTGGGGCTTTCTTTGCCCACTCTACAAAAGCCTCCGGATGCAGAACAAGAAGAGACGCAAAACAACCCTCGACATATCCTTAGCACCACCCCCCTCGGTGTTTTTCTAGTGTCAGCTAGCGCTAGGTGGCCGGGGGACCGAGGCACAGCCACGAGGTCGCGCCGGGTCGCTGGGTCAGCCCGCAGACTTGGTCCCGGGAGCAATAGTACGGGGAGAAGGGGCGGAGCCTAGGGGAGGAGTCAAGGGCGGAGTCAAGGATCGCTCCTCCCACTCCCGCCGGGTTCCCGGCGGCGTCCCTGCGCATGCGCGCCGGGCGTAGGCTTTTGGTTGCGGAGACCGCTCCGGGGTAGCCCTCGCGCCCGCACCCTCCGCCTCCTCCCCCGCCCTTTCCAGCCTCCGCCCACTGACGCGATGACGCAAGGCAGGTTTGCGGACGTGGCGGCGGCGCACGGTCCGGAAGGCGGAGACGTTGGCGGGGTCGGCTCCGGTGGCAGCGGCAGACGGGGGCGATCAAATAACCGAGGCTTGGCCATGAACTTGCCTGGGACGGCGGCGGACTTGGCAGCCGTCTCCTTGTCGGGCTGCTCCTGCTAACGGAACAGGTAAATATGGCGGCGAGAGGTGAGGGGCGCCCCCGACGGGCTGGCGGGGTTGGGCCCCTGCGGCGCGCAGTCGCCCGCCGCAGGTGTGACGGGGCCGCCGGGCGCCCGTGCGATCTCGGCCCGCGTGGGGGGCTCTGGAGGAAGGGGAGCCCCTCTGACCTCACGCAGCCTCCCCAGAGCCCTTCCTGACTCTGGCGGGGAAACTGAGTCTTAGGAAAGACTGTTTGCTGCCCGATACCCGGAGCAGGGCATTTCCCACCCTCACATACTACGTTTATCCCACAACTTTGTGCTCGGTATCCGCAGGTGGCTACTCGTCCGTATCGTTCAAGTGCGATGGTGTGACATAAAAAGCTGAGATTTAATCTCTTGGGAATAACAGGGAAAGAAAAAAAATCGCAGTGGAATGGAAGGGGATAGAAGGTTTTAAAAACTGACTTGTCCCTGGCGGATACTACTCTGATACCGTCCCAGTGCTGAGCTACCCTGTGCCTTTTTTTTTTTTCCCTCTTTTATTTTTATTTTTTTATATTTTGTTTCCGATTTTTTTACAACAATTTTCATTTTTGCACAATGTATGCATTTTTATCTTGCTTATAGTCACCATCCAATCCCTCCTCCCCCCGTCACGTTTAGTACTCTCTTCTTAAGGTCAAAGGGAAGCACCCAGCTGAAGTGACTCTTTAAAAAAGGTGTTTGTTAAGCCTTTTTTTTAACTAAGCTGTTGAATGCTTTAACATCGTATCCATTGGGAATTACTTAGCTCCTTGTAATCCAGGTAGCATGCTGGCTTGAGTTTTCTGAGCAGGGGTTTCGTACTTTTATCGAAGGCCAAGAAAACTTGGTCCAGTTGGCTTGAGTACTATGTACTTTCTAATCTCTGTATAGCTGTATAGTTGACTCAGATAATTATCTGCCTGATATCTAGCTGTTTACTTCCATTAGACATTAGAGAGACAACCAATTCTTGGTTATTTAGAAACAGGATGCCAAATCTTCCTGATTTCATTACAAAGAGGGGTGAAGAAATAGTGTGACACATGAGATTCTAGTCCTTAAATGTTATTTAGCAATATGTAGTGGAGAAAAGTTGATATAAATGTATTAAATGGCTTTGGGACATTGCTTAGTGAATTTCAGTTAGCTGTAGCATATGTCACTTTGGTGTTCTAAGAACAAAATCATCAGGGAGAAAAACTAAAAGAAGCATAATTGGGTTTAAGTTACTGTACATTAAGTGATTTTTATTCTTTTTTAAAACGAGCCCTATTTGAGAATATGTAAACAATACACTCCTCAGAAAAACGTGAGTATGTATTGTATTTTGCCTACAAATCCACAGGATCCAGAGACATTCCCTAGATTGAAGACGTTGGGTAGAAAAGATTTGGTTAAGTAAGTGGAAGTGAAAGTTAACCTATTTTAGGTGAAGATGAGATATTCTCTCAACTTTTTAAAAAATTAAATAAAAACAAAGCATCTTTATTATGGTACCAAAACAAGTTCAATCTTTATGAACTTGTTAGAATGGTCACTTGTTAAAATTCCTTGCAGGAATAGGGGTGACCACCTGACTTCAAAATTGCTTTTGAGGTATAAAATATGGATAGCTCTCTTTAACTGGGTTACCTTCAAGTTTAGGAATCCCAGTTCATGGTAATAAATAATGTAACAACACCTAGAGAATAGGTGAAATAATCTAATATAAAACTGTATTAGCTGAATAGAAACCCTTGAGTTTTTAAAACATTATGTGTTGCTGTAGAGCAGGGTCAAAAACTGGTTTTCGTGGGTTGCATTCAATTATAGTTACAAAAATTCATAAGTATGTGCCCACATAGAGCCTATATCTTGCCATCTAAATTACAAATTCATACCTTTGGAGTTCAGCTTTTTCTCATAGTGTTTGTCACTTGGTGCTCATCTATAGTCATCAAAACGAAAACTAAACCCTTTGAGACATCATTGTGTCTTTATTTCTGTGACATAACACTTTCATGGTTTTCTCCTCTGAACACTCTTCCTTTCCCATCTTCTTTGAAGGATGATTTTCCATTACCCAGATGCTAAGTGTTAGAATTCTTCAAGGCTCATTCTTGGACCCTTTTGTTCTATACTTTCTCTTTAGCATCTGCACACACAGCTTCTGTTTTCACCTATGTGTAGATGCGTCTTGAAATATATCTCTCACCCAACCTTTCTGAATTTGACTATACAGTCCATTTGGCTACTTGACATTCTTTTGACTGTCTTGGAGGAATTTGTAATCATTCTGTTTCCCTTCTTCCCAAAGTTCTTCCAGTTTTCCATATCTCGAAAATGGTACCATTATTATTCAGTGATGCAAATCATGCATTTTGGTATGATCCTTAACAACTTCCCTCTCAATATCTCAGCCACGATATAAAGTCCCAAGTATTTTATAGCTACAGTGTCTCTTACTACCTGTCTGCTGTCCATCCCCCTTTTTTTTTTTTTTGAAGATTTATTTATGTGTGCGAGAACTGGAGTACAGGCCAGAGGTGTGCGGGGGGAGGCAGTGAGAGGATTCCCCAGAGACAGTTGGAAGCATAACAGGCAGATATACTGAATTACACTGCTGAGGGGAGCAGCGGGCGAGACAGGTGAGGTCTGCTGCGCCATGTGGGTAGCTCCCTGGCTGACCGGGGATTGAACTCATGCTGCAGTGGCTGTGGAGAGCTTCATAGTGCTGTGCCTAATCCTTTGCGCCACCAGGGAGGCCCAGTAGTCTATCCTCTTTTACATGAACAATATGAAGTCAACACTGAATGTGCAGTTAGTCTATGTTCTTGTATTATATATTTTTTAAAGATTTATTTATGCATACAAGAACTGGAGTACAGGCCAGAGGTGTGGGGGATCAGAAGATTCACCAGAGACAGAGTGGGGAGCAGAACTGGTGGATTGACTGAAATACACTGCTGAGGGGAGCAGCAGGCAAGACAGGAGAGGTCTGCTGCGCCATGTAGGTCACCTTCCTGGCCGGGAAGTGCTGCAGTGGCTGCAGATAGCTTCACAGTGCTGTGTCATAATCACTTGGCACCACCAGGGAGGCGCCTGTTCTTGTATTATTTGTTTTTAATGAATAGATCTATTTGATTAAGGTGAGTTAAGAGTGAGTATGCAAGTAAAGTGTTAATTGATGTATTTTTTTAACTTAGGTCAACTCTCATTCTACAATATTTTCTCTGAAGTAGAAATGAAGTCATATGAACTCTGTTCACAGTTTTTATGAAACATAAATTGAGTTTGATAAGGACTTTGATAAGTTAAAAGTTTGGTGATAGCCTCCAGGAAAAAATAAAATTCTGGTCAAGAGGAAAATCATGACCTCTATAGTACTAATTATAAACACTGAACTCAGTATAGTCCAGGGAGGTAGATGGATAGTACAATGTTACTTCAATCCCACATGAATTTAAATGCAGAACAAACTAGAAAGTTTTGGGGTTTTTAATTACTGTGTGTAAAGGTAGGACATATACTTTAATTCCATCTGAACTAGAAATTAACAGTTTGCCCTTGTTAAAATGTAATCAGTTCAGGTGTGGCAATACATATCTGAAGAGATGTGAACCTAGTCCCCTAAATCATATACAGTGCTGGAAACCAATTTTATTGCCAAAAAAAAAAAAAAAGTTACAGGAAAAAAACCTGTAATCACACCCATTTTTGTGATACATGATCTATAAGAATGGATCACTTCTTCCCACTCCGTTGCCTACACAGGCAGATATCTTTATTGTACTTCAACAGCAGTAAAACCTCAATCTAAATTTTTAAAAAACTAAAACTGTCTGAAAAAAGAAAATACAAATACAAAGTATCTTGAATGTAAGAGGCATGTGGCTCAAGCCAGTGTTTCAGCTACATTCCAAAGTTTTTTCTCCCTTCTTCCCCCCTTAGATTTTGACATTATGGCTGGGAGGCATCAGAGTCGTTTTCCTCTTCCAGGAGTTCACTCAGGTGGTCAAGGACATGCCTTTGGAAATTGTACAGACAGTGATGTTTTGGAGGAGGATGCTGAGGTTTATGAACTTCGGTCCAGAGGAAAAGAGAAAATCCGAAGAAGTACATCAAGAGATAGACTTGATGACATTATAGTATTAATAAAAGACATACAGGAAGGAGATACTTTAAATGCAATAGCCCTTCAGTACTGTTGTACGGTAAGTTTTCATTTTACATAATACAGTCCAAAAAATTGTTTATTAGTATAAATTAAAATAAATTTTGTGTCATTTTTTTTCCTTTCCTCTTTCCATCAAAATCTGTATCATGTTGGTGGATGTAAAGTTTTGAAGTGAATACTTAAGTTTATTTCTAAATCTGTGATTCTGTTTTTAATATGAAAAACATCCAAATATGTTATGTTTTTCTCCTTATTCAAGTTGTAAGAGAAAGTGTGTGTGTGTGTATAAATATATATATATATTTTTTCCCTGCCCCAATTTCCTAAATATTTCCGAAGTGACATATTTTTGTGTTTCTTTCTGTATCTTTTTTTTTGTATTAATATATGTAAAATACTTGGGGAATTGTGTTTAAAAGTGGTTTATGATATGCATATTACTCTGAAGGTTTCCTTTCCATTTTCATTTCTTAGTATATCATGGACAACATTCAGAGCTTTAAAGAGCTAACACGTTTTTATGACTATATAATATTCCATAATATGGGTGTGCCACAATTATTAAACTGTTCTACTCATGGATATCAGGCTTTCAATTGTGTAGTAACTATCACACCTATCACAATGATATCTTTATGATTTTTTTTTTAAGATTTATTTATTTTTATACAAGAGCTGGGGGTACGGTCCAGAGGCGCAGGAAGGTGAGAGTATTCACCAGAGACAGAGCTGGGAGCAGAACAGGCAGATGACTGAAATACACTGCTGAGGGGAGCAGCGGGCTGGACAGAAGAGGTCTGCTGAGCCATGTGGGAATCTCCCTGGCCAGCCGGGAATTGAACTCACGCTGCAGAGGCTTTGAACAGCTTCACAGCACTGCTCTCAACATGCTGTGCCACGGGGAGGCCCCTACAGTGATATCTTTATTATTTTTTAAAAAGATTTATTTATTTATACAAGCACTGGGTACAGTCACTGGGAGGGTGAGAGAATTCACCAGAGCCAGAGCGGGGAATAGAAGAGGCAGACCGACGAAATACACTGCTGAGGGGAGCAGTGGGTGCGGCAGGAGAGGTCTGTGGGCCATGTGGGACCCTCACCGGTGGCTGGGGATCCAACTGGCACTGCAGAGGCTGGGGGCAGCTTCGCAGCCCAGCGCTCAACCACTGCGCCACCGGGGAGACCCTACAGTGATATCTTTAAATGGTAGTACCTTTATTTTTGTGGAATAGATTCCTAAAAGTAGAATTGCTAGATAAAAGGAAAGGCATCTTTTTATTTTAATAAATATTAAACTCTGTTTAAACTATATCTGTCATGATGTCCATTTTGAATCTTTGGCAGATACTGTTTTCTTATAAACACACTGATATGGAAACTGTAAATTTAGAACCCTGAGTTTCAATCTTTTTGTTCTCATACTTCCAATAGTATAGAATTTTGAAATGTATATAATACCTTGCACATTTTCAAATTAACTTCTTAATTTTAATATTTAAAATATTTACAGAATAATTACAGAGGATATAATTTTCCGAATGTTGACAATTTTGATATTTTAAACTAAGACTATTAGAATACTCTTCAAAATGTTTATGGAATTCTAAATAACACCAGAATTTGCTTCCTAAAATCATTCATATAAAAAATATATATCTCAGTTCTTTCTTTAATAAGCATGAAATTTTATATCAGTCCTTTTTTCTTTTAATATTTATATTCTCAACATGTTTTTGTACTTGAAAACCTCCTATTGATTATTTGATTCTTATTGAATCACATATTTATGAATTTATATGAGGGACAAGGCTAAAAATGTCAAAGTGGGGATCCAAAAGAAGAGTGTGAGTTTAGTAGCTATTAGAGAACATTTGTTATCCTTTAATGAGCCTGGAAACTTCTTAGAAGAGAAATTTTAAATGCTATGTTGAATGATTCAAAATGATCACATTTACAGTGAGGTGAAAGGAAACAAGCATTGTAGGCAGGTGATAGTGATGTGAAGAAAATTTCAAGAAGGAAAAAAAAGTGAATGGAGGAGCTTTAATGTATTGTATTTCAGAAATGAATGGCACAAAGCTATTTGGGGTGAAGCACTTTGAGATAACTGGGGAAAACTTTGTATAATAAGAGAACACCATTGTGGGATTTCAATAATCTTATTTAATAAAATTTAAATAAATAAAATTAAAAATTTAATTTTAAAATGGTGGGGGAACCTGCTAGTGAATTAGAGGGCATCTGATAAAGTAGTGGAAGAATGCAAATGCAAATGATTAGGATTTGGACTAAAGCATCTGTCATGAGAATAGAGAAGCTGGGCCTCCCTGTGGTGCGGCAGGTTGAGCGCTGTGCTGTGAAACTGTCTGTAGCCTCTGCATGCAGGTTCGATTCCAGGCCGGCCAGGGAGAGACCCACATGGCTAGCAGACTTCTCCTGTTGAGCCCGCTGCTCCCCTCAGCGGTGTCCTTGGTCTGTCTGCCTGCTGCTCCCCACTCTATATTTGGTGAATTCTCTCACCCTCCCGTGCTTCTGACTGTATCCCACTTCTTGTATAAATAAATTTAAAAAATTAAAAAAAAAATCTTAAAAAAAAGAGAGAATCTGGTGGAAAATGTAGTTAGGAGAAATTACAGATTGTGTCATCTGACTCCTAGTTACAATGAATAATAGTTAAAGGCAATTAGTGTAAAATTAGTGTAACATTAAAGGAAAGATGGCATTGACCATAGTGGAAAAATTTATACAACAGTGTTAATGGAGTTATGCAATGCTCCATTTTGCCAGCATTTCACATAGGGGGGAAAAAAAAAAAAACTTTACATGAAGATTTCTCATTTTTAAAAATATATTTGTGCTGTATTCCACTTATATTGTCTTAGGAATGATAAAAATATTCCTGTTATAAACAGTGATGAGGACAAAAAATACAAGGTTGGCAACCTAAATACAACCAAGAAAATTAGCTTAGCAGAAAATATAGGTATATGTAGAGAGATAACGTACCTTGGAAGAATATTGAAGTTATTGGAACATATAAGAAAAGGGACATTTAAAAAGAAGAGGGTTAGGGCCTCCCCGGTGGCGCAGTGGTTGAACGCTGGGTTGCAAAGCTGCCCGCGGCCTCTGCGGCACTGGTTTGATCCCCGGCTGCTCCCCAGCCACCGGAGGAGGGTCCCACATGGCGTGCAGACCTCTCCTGCCGCCCGCTGCTCCCCTCAGCAGTGTACTTCGGTCCTTCTGCCTGCTCTGTTCCCTGCTCTGGCTCTGGTGAATTCTCTCACCCTCCTGTGCTTCTGACTGTACCCAGTGCATGTATAAACAAAACAAACAAACAAATAAATAAATAAATAAACATGCCTCTATTAAAAAAAAAAATAAAAAAAAAAAAAAGAAGAGGGTTAGATTTTGGGGTTTGTCGGTGCATCTTCATTTGCCTTAATAAACAAGTGTCTAGGTACAAAAATGACAGAGAGCCCTTGATCTTTACTGCCTCTTCTCATCTTCCTTGTCCTCCCCTACATACACATCAAAGGAATTAATTTTTCCAGTAAAACCTCTTAGTCTTTATTGGTCTTGATTAGTAATCTGCAGATTAGTAATCTACTTGATCCTGTTCATTGCTTCCTCCTAAAAACTTTGTTTGATCTCTTTGATTCTGCAGTTTCTGATTTCCTGTTAATGTTTAATTATAGCTAACACTTTTATAATATACTATATATCACTATTCTAAGTTTTCTTTACATATTTTAATTCATTAATCTTCACAACAACCCTGTCGGGTAGGCAGTATTATTATTGCCATATTACATATATGGCAACTCAATCGCAGAAAGGTTAAATAACTTGCCCCAAATGATAAAATGAGAAAATGTCAGAGCCACACTTCAAACTCAAGATATTAGGTGCTTTAAACCACCATCAATTATACTTATACTTTGGTTTCCTGGCTACTGATTCATATTCCTTATGGATTTCTCTTACTCTGTTCTCTTAAATGTTGGCATTTTTCCAGAATCTTTCTTGTCATCTTTACCCCCTGTCTTTTTCTAGAAAATCTTATCTACTCTTGTGACTTGTGGTAATACAGAAATTATCTCTTTAGCCAAGATCATCCTGAATTTCATACATCTGTGTCTTCCTGCCATCTTCTACTTGTATATTTCAAGGACCGCAAAGTTAACATGTATGAAATCTGCATTCTCTTTCTCCCTTCAACAGTGTTCCATACCTCAGTGAATAACATTATCATCCTTTGAGTTGACCAACCCAGAAATCTAAGTTTAATACCAGACTTTACCCCTTTGATATCAATCAGGTGATCAGGATTTAGGACAAAGCATTGGTCGAAATGATGAAAGGGACTAATAACTAAAAGGTTATGGGAAAGCCTGGCATGCTGATAGAAAATCTGAGAAATACCTGCTCCCCTTATTCTCAATGGTAGGCAGATGAGGCTATACAGACAAGTTTAGAACTGTATAATATAGAGGGAAGATTTATAAAAATGACTAATTTGGGGAGGAGCTGAGTAATGCATTTATGCTGAGAAGTTTAGAAAAAATGGCTACTGAAGAACAAGTGAGAAAAATATATTATTAGTTTTAAGGTTTATGTTTTCCCTATATATCTTAAACATCTTTGAAATTGGAATGGTGGCATCTTCAATATTTTTTCCCCTTAGTGATACATAAAGTAATGGCACATCCTAGCTTTGATATCATTCTGCTTTTGATAAAATATAATATTTTAGTAGAGTAAGCTAATATTTGTACACTATTGGCCACATTGTAAGAAAGAACATAAGTATTGCCAGTCCTTCTACAAATTGATTACAAACAGCAGAAGTATGATATTTGTGTATGGTGTACAAAGAAAAATCAAAAAATCTAGACTCTACTTAAATAGCTAGCATTAGCGTTAATACATGGGTGGTAGTAAAAAGTAATTAGTGATTTTCTAAAGCTAGTAGAACAATATGGATAGAACTGTCATCCACAAATAAAATCCCTCAGGATGTGAAAATAGTACTAATAACTAAGCTCAACTTGTTTTTCCCCACAAAAGTAACCGGGGTAAATGACTATTACTACCAATATTTTGATTTAGAATTTAGGTGAATGTTGCACATTTTCTTTTTTTTCTTTTTTTACAGGTAGCAGATATCAAGAGGGTTAATAATCTCATCAGCGATCAAGACTTTTTTGCCCTAAGGTCTATTAGAATTCCAGTAAAAAAGTTTAGTTCATTGACTGAAACACTTTATCCTCCAAAAGGAAGACAGACTTCACGACCTTCATCTGTTCAATATGTTCCAGAACAGGAGATTTTGTCAGCTAATGATTCTCTTTCTTCCAGTGAATCAGCTGGTAACTTTTTAAAAGAAGTAGACCGAGACATAGAGCAAATAGTAAAATGTACAGACACCAAAAAAGAGAACCTTAATGAGGTGGTATCTGCCTTAACATCACAACAAATACGTTTTGAACCTGATAACAAAAACATTCAGCGTAAGGATCCTTATTATGGAGCAGACTGGGGAATAGGTTGGTGGACAGCTGTAGTGATAATGTTGATAGTAGGGATAATAACGCCAGTATTTTATTTGTTGTATTATGAAATTTTAGCTAAAGTGGATGTTAGTCATCATTCAACAGTGGATTTTTCACATTTACATTCAGGGATCACACCCCCATCACAGCAGAAAGAAATGGAAAACGAAATCGCTCCAACTAAAGGAATACCCTTTAGCCAACAAAATGATCATAAACAATATGGTCATGAATCTCAATTACCTGCTGCTCAACACAAAACATAGCAATTATTCATAATCACAATATCATTGATCACATTTGCCTCGGGAATTTGGTGAATCCATTCTCTTCAATAACCACTTCAAAGGCAGAATTTAGGAAGATTGAAGATGATTTTGTTTATATTTTTTACCGTCTTAGAGTCATTTACGAATAGATGAGTATAAAATCCTTACAGTTGCCAGCTGTTGATATTGAGAGCAGTTAAGTTTATATAACTGTTATCAATGCTTAACACAGAAATGAGTTTCAAATATGTATCTAGGAAGTTCTTAATTTGGAAGATATATCATTTTCTTACCCATCTAGTTATGTTTAAATTTTATTTTTTAATAACTTAAGATTATTAATAGTAAATTGTTTAAACAGAATAATGATAATATCAGGTATCTGCAGTTGAAGAAAACTTACTCCTATGTGTCATCAAGATACTTAGTTGCTAAAAAGTTGATTAGGAAATTATTTATAATAGCACACAAATTCCATTTTGAAACTTAAAAAACATATTTGGCACATGTGCTGTGAAAAAATAAGTAGAAAGAAAATGGGAAAGTAATTATCTAGTGTCTGTAATAGAGACTAAAAATAAGGTTATTTTTAAGTCCCCTAAATAATGTAGTATGGTTTGCAAGTTGCCATTTGTCCAATGAACACTGGATTAAGTCAAGACCTAGAAATATTTACTCTTAAAGAATGCTGCCTCTCCTTCTGTTTTTTTTTAAGCCATTGTATTTGTTTCTACTATTTAAAAGCACTTTTGTAAATTGATGAGAAGTGTTGGACAGATTTATGTTATTTAGGTAATAATTCATTATATACTATATACTGTGATAAGTTGTTGCTGTGTTACATGTAGTAACATGCCTTAATTATATTTTATAATGCCTTATATTACTTTATGTAAGCTAATATATTTTTTAGAATTTAAACATTTCAGATGGTCCAATCAAATTTTGTAACATAGGCTACGTAAATTCATCTCCACCTTCACAATCAAGCACAAGTTAATGTCAATACAGATTTTCATTGTCTACCTCTGAGATTTGTTGCAGAATTGGTTTGTTAAACAAAAACAAGGGTAAAAGGACTGTTTGCATTAGCAATAACAAATTGCTCTATTTATTGACCCATTAATCTCTTTTTCAGAGAAAATGTCCAACTCAGACCCTTTCCCCCCAGAACTCCAGAGCATCAAATTGGGGGACAGAGGCTAAATATGTATGGATTGGTTGAAGATGATTAGTGGCACTTTTTAAGATCTATGCATCAGCCACAGTCTGGCTAAACAAATATTTTATATTCTATCATTTAATTTTTAATGGTATGGGTTTTTAAAATGGAACCAAAATGATTCATTAAAGCAAGATTTGATAGGAGTCTGGATTTCCTATTTGGTGTATAACAATATACCTTAAGATATATATATGATATATACACATACACACACACACACACACACACATACCCCATCTCATTTTCTGGGCATAATTTTTAATGTTTTAGCATTTTGACCAGTCATTCTATATTTCAAAGTCCAATCTTGATATAAAAGTGTATATATGTAAATGAGGTTTTATGTGCTTTAAGGAGCAAGGTATAAGTCATGACAAAAAAGCCATTGAATTAAAGCCCTTGAATATATTAAAGGACATTAGACAATTACCAAAAAGTGTTAACTATAGAAGATGTAGCAAATTGATTTCTTGAGAAATTTGGTAAGTTAAATTTTTAAATTGTTTTAAAGTGCCTTGGGCATCTTGAAAAGAGGAGTACGGTCTTTCTAATTTATATTCAGTGTTAACTTAATTAGTTTACGTTGTATTAAGCCTGCTGAAAATCAAGTTTTAGGGGAAAAAACACGTCGTAGAATGGAATGGGCTAGATGTCCTTTGAAGAACTTTGTTTACATCAAATTGATGACATTTTTGGAGAGTCAATGATTCATTTTTGATAGTGGTACTTTGAAATTGTGATAGGTCTGATTTCAATATGTAACTTATTTTTAAAGTAGTGAGGTGTACTATGTACTTGCTGAGTAAAAACAATTTGTCTTGCAGTGTGTCCTATTCCTTGGAGGAAATATGACATATCCTTATGATACAAATTTCTATATATTTGACTTATATATTTTTAAATTAATTGAATATAATTTGAATTATAATTCTATATATGTCATATAGAGCTAGAGGTGATAATCACTGTCATTTCTAAAAGAAAAAAGATTTCCACAGTATTTAATAAATATAGAATAATTTTAGCTTTTAAAACGTACTAATATGCATTAAAATTTGGAACAAATGCAGATTACTTTGTAAAACTTAATAAAATAAGAAAAGTTATTTCATATTGTGGGTTTTTATTGTGTTGAAATCATCTGGATTTAAGTCTTTGCATTAAATTTACTTTGAGGTTTTACAATTTGAAAATGTAACAACTGAATCATTGCATTTGGTTCACTTAAAACATGGAGTTGTAAGTGAGGAAAAATTATTTTTAGGGCAGATTCACTTTTCAAAGTTACAAATGGTTAAAGTTTTTTTGAAAAAATGGATACCCTTTAGATATTTTTTTGCTATCCTATTCCTATGTCATTAAGAGAACTATTAAGATGGAAAGTAGTTTGTTGGCTACACTAAGAATTAAACTAATGTTAAATTCACTCCTTCAGAGACTTAGATTTTTTAAGGCTTTTTATTTTTCTGGATTCTATTTCCCTGTTCAGTTGCCTAAATAGAGTTCTTTAAATGAACTATTAATTAGTAATTAGTTATTAAAGCTATCTACTTCTAAAAATACTTGCTCGGGAAAACTGATAGTCCAAAGTTTTAGAAATATCATAAAGCAATGATTCAACCTGAGAATTACAGGTTAAAATGGAGTTTTTAGAAGTCTGTATTTAATGGTGCATTATGATGGGAATCATTGTTATCTTGAATTACAACAATGTTGCTCAGGAAATCAGTATTTTTCTTCCAAGTATGTGCATATTGCACTTTTAGATCATAGAAATATCTAAATGCTTTATTTCTTTTAATGTATGTGAACACTATAAATGTTTTATATAATGTATTTTATACAAATGTAGAATGGAATTACAGAATATTATGTTAGCATGTACATCTGTAAAATTGGTTTATAAAACTTTTTTGCCCCTTTCTATTTTAAAAGATCTGCAAAATGTAATAAAGTTTCTATTTTATTCAATCTAAAATGGAAGCTGGTGAATTTAATTGGATAGAGCAAACTTTTGTTATCAAACTATTTGATACAGAGATACTATGTAAGATAAATAGAATTGACCAAGATGTACTTAGTTTCCCCCTTGTTATAATAAGATTCAAGGGGTGGCAAAATTTTTCTACCCTTTAAGTTCTTTGACTTTTCTAACCGTTAAGTTGACATAAGACAGATTAATAGGAGAAAATCAAATATAATTTCTTAAGTAGGGGCCCTCAGAAATGAGTCCCAAGGGCAAGCTTGATAAAGCTTATTATCTTGAGCTAAGGACTAGGATTGGGGTTTGGTGTTCCAAAGGGTAGGAGGGCATTTCACAGGATTAGAAGAGCAGATGTTTGGCAGTTAAATGTTTTCCTTGCCATATAGATACGTATAAAAACAGCTTACTCTCTAGGTCAGGCCTCCTATCTAAATTTTTTTCAGTAATTAAGGGAAAGTCAAAGTTTGCCCTTGAGTCTGCTAGGTTTTGATTGTCAAGCAGCAATCCACATGCCCAAATGTTTTGTTCTGAATCACTTCAGTACAAATAAAATTTCAGATGAATGCTCCTTGGGGGATCTTCGATTTCAGGGAAGCAGGACCTCATGAGGTGTGGTCCATGACTTCTTAGCATATTGTGAATCAATTATGTAATGATTTATCTAAGTTTTATTGAGAAAAATCCCTTTCAATTCAAGAATATTAGTTAAAAAATTAGTACCATAAAGACTAGAAAAAACTTTGGAGCTTTTATTTAATGGAAAAATCTAGTGTAATGCATTTGTTTTTTAATTTTTAGAAGCATCTTGATCTTAAAATTGTCCTTAAATTAATTTTGTATAAAAAAAATTTTTACTAACTTCAGAGCCTTTAACCATTTAAAGGTTAGACATTATATACTTGAAGGTGTTGGGAAAGGTTATTAACCTTTAAGGTTTTCAGTGTTTTTATGTATCTTTTAAGTTTGCCTATTGTACCAATGATCATACTAATATTACATTATCTGACAAACCTTTGAGTTTGTTATTTAGTGACTTTCATCACGTAGTGGTGGTGGTTTAAGAATATTTTATCCTAGCATATCTGCCCAATAAATATATAATTACCAGGTAAAATCTGTATTACACAATTATTTTCTCTAGCAAAAAAACATTTAAGGAGGTCTAAAAACGACAACACATTTTGTTTTTTAAGAATTTAATGTATAAACAAATACAGAAAAATAAGCATTATAGCAATAAAACACTTTTGCTTGTTATGTAGCAATTTTAAAGACACTTTATCAACAATTATTTTATAAGTTTAATAGACTATTTCTGCATTAAAATTTACCTTCCTATGGAATGACTTTACAGTCTCTTAAGATTTTAAGTCAGAAAAACAAGATTCATTGCGTTACTAGTAACCTGCAACCTGCAAATACTTCTTTTCTGTTCTCACACTCAGTCTACTTTAAACTTGTGAAAAGATGTTCCAAAGGGGAAGAGACAATGCACTTAAGGGAAATGGCTAGGGCTTCCCAAAGCAAATTCTTGCTCCAAGTGACTGTGTTACCACCGGTAAGACCAAAAAGTGAAGACAAATTGAAAGCCAGGAAAAGTATCTTTGGTATATTTGCCTGATTCAAGCAATTATTTACAAACTTATAAGATAGTAAGAAAAAACTATTGAGATTTCTATAAATTAAATGTATTTGGCTAAGGTACTAATAGGTGAGAGAATAAAATACCTATGTTAATTATCAATCCTAAATAACTTTGCCCATTACAAATGAAAATTATATGAGGTTTCTACTGTTAAGTGCAGTAGATCGCTGCTTTAAAGTTGACTTATTTTATTCATGTATTCCATTTAGAATTCTTACAATTTTTGATAAGCTCCTATAAACAAAAAATACACATGATTAAAATAGCACTGAATATGGTCATCATACCTCTTTGAATTATTAAAATTGAAAGATCTATTTCCTGAGAAAGCCACATTGCAAGATGGCACGACAATATAAATTGCTACCAATTTTCTCCACCAGAATACAAGATGAGAGGATCTGATTATAAAATATTTTGTGGGGAAAACATGTTTATTTTTCAAAACTATGTTTTCAATCACTTTGCAAGCTATCATTTTCTAGAGGGTGAAAATGAAATTTAAATGATGAAGTGATAATTTCTATAAGGTTAGCGAATGGATACTACATGGTAAATTCAGGTTGGTATTTGAGCAATTTTTATAGGAAATTGTGTACAAGTGGAGAAACTAAGGCACAGAAAACTTACCCAAGCTCAATTTCAAGGTTGAATTTAATAGTAAAGTAGAAATAGAACCTAGGGTTCTGATTGTCAGACTTGAGTGTAATGGATTGCATCTTCCCAAAAGAATAAAGCATTTCTTTTGGTGGGAAATATTAATAAATCACTTTTAAAATACATAAGAACTTTTCTGAAGACCTTTGGTATTTGTGAGCCTTTGGAGGATGAGGCTTTTAGTTATTTTCCCTCCAAAATATTAAAAGGCAGGCAAGCTAGCTTTTAATTGAAACAAAAAGTTAATTTTAAAAAGACCTGTGTTTCAGGGGCCTCCCTGGTAGCGCAAGGGGTTAAGACATAACCTGTGAAGCTATCTGCAGCCACTGCAGCTTGAGTTCGATCCCTGGCCAGGGAGCCACCCAAATGGTGCAGCAGACCTCTCCTGTCTTGCCCACTGCTCCCCTCAGCAGTACACTTCAGTCAATCTGCCTTTTCTGTTCCCCACTGTCTCTGGTGAATCCTTTCACCCCCCCATACCTCTGGCCTGTACCCCAGTTCCTGTATGCATAAATAAATAAATCTTTAAAAAAAAAACCAAAACCTGTGTTTCTTTCAACATTATTACACAAATCATTTGGTTAGTTATGAGCCCTGTATGTAAAAGAGGCCATCACACCTTACAGATGACACATACATGCACTTGGCAATGAGATTTCTCTGATTGGACTATAACACTTTAGTAAAGGACAAAAATAAGATGTTTCAGCGCAATTTTTCATAAAGCTCTCAAACTTACAGTGGGATGATTAACTTACATATGGTATTAAGTTTATCCCAAATTCAAGTATTTTTTATATTCATCCAGATGAAAAGTCTGCATGAACTGAGGTGTGAGTTGTGCAATGTTTATATAGCTCAGATTGGCATTTGTCCCTGTGTATGTGTTCTGATCACAAAACTACTAATCTCATAAATATGCATTTGTAAGAATGCTAGGTTATGTAGTTACAATGTAGTAGTCTAGAACAAACCATAAAAAGTAAAATAAAATTCAAGTTTCTTTGTTTTTAAAGTGCTCCTTGTGCAGTATTAAATCAACTTCCACATTACAGAAATCCATCTTGATGACCAATAATAGATTTATAAATGATCTGCAGTTTAACAAGAATAATTTGCTCAAGTATGAATATATAAGTTAAATGATACAAAAACTCTTCAGGAACATTCTAATTCAAATAATAGGAAATATCCACTTGAATATATATGAGGGATGACAGAGAGGTTGTAAAGGAATGTCAAAGTGTCAAGAGATTACTTGGTAAAGTAACTGATAATGTAAACTCAAAAAGTGGTTCTGAATGTTGGCCCAACAAAACAGGAACAAAAATAAAATACTTACTCATTTTTGTAAGAAATAAAATAGAAAACAAATCTGTCCAAACGTTCAGAAGATGTATCATAGAAATACTATTTTGAGAATTTTCATAGCTAATAGGTTGCTTCATCCATGTTGTCATCACTGTCTGCACCAAAATCATCTCCATCTTCAAAGTATGAATTTATGTAGTCATTTTCCTAAGTGAAATTACATATTCCTCAGTAAAATGAATGAATGGTAACATTACTATTAAAGAATATAATGCAGGCTGTCCCTTTAAGTGTATAAATACCAAATTTGGGTAATAAGAATATATACCAGTTTTAAAAGAAAATCTCCGCTTTCTCATCTACCTAAAAAAAAATACACATTAACTTACACCCACCTGTGCTGCTTTCTCCCTCACGAGCCCCACCTCCTACCTATTCCCAGATAACAACTAGCTAAATGAACATAAATGGCTAGCCTTAGTGGGATGATACATGCTTTAGCTAGCTAAATCACTAAACACTCCAAAATGCAGACACTCAAGAGATAAAACCAATTTACATTAACAATATATTAGACTACCCCAGAACCGATGAGAACCGATTTTTTTTTTTTTTAAGGTTGATAAAAGGTTTATTTACAAGGGAAGGGGAAATGGGAAATGAATAACTCAGGGAGAAAAAGAGGAAAATAAGTTTGTAAATGCGTCCTACCCGTTCCGCTGACCTGTAATCCCAATGATCCCCAGATCAGGCAAAAAACCTAGCATGCCTTGTGGCCAAGCCACGACCACCCCCCCAACCCCTCACCCCCCCCACCCCCCCCGCCGCCACATTGCCAGTTAAATACCCAAACCAAGAACCTAGTTGCTTAACTCGGCCCTCAGGTCCCTGCAACCTTCCCTTTGGTGATCATGGGGTTTGTAGTTCCCAGTGTGGTGGGGGTGGAGTCCACAAAGCCTGTATGGACATCCTTTCCCCCTAACACCACAACCACTACCAAATCTACCAATGGCATCACCATTGTTTCTCACCTGGACTTCTGTCAACCTATTTCTAACTGGTGTAGTCCAATTCACTTTTATTCCTCTTTCTTCTTCAGCAGTCTTTTCCACAGGAGGATTCTTTGGTGGCAAATCTAACCTATAAATAACTTGCCTAAAACTCTGTAGTAATTTTTCTTGCCATTTATGTGAAGTCTGAAATTCTTACCATGAGAACCGATGTTTTTAGTAACAATGTATAACTGAGCATAGTCAGAGGACTTTTATATGTATTTTTAGATATATATTTATTTATATGTATTTTATATATATATATATGTGTATGTGTATATACAAGCCTTAATATATGTTAGGTGAAATGATTGAATTGTGATGTTGTTAGAGAAGCCTTATAGTACATGCTAAAATATTTACATGAAAAAAGGCAATACCTGGGATTTCCTTTATAAAGACAGATGGGAGTTGGAAATGGGGAGACAGGAATGTATTGAAATCTGCCATGACAAAAAATTAATCTTGGTATCTCTCCTGTCTATAGCAGAAAGGATGATAGTGTAAGAATCAGAACTATTTCTGAAAGAATGTCTCCTGGATATCAGCTTATTTAGTATCTATGTGGTAGAATGTTACATATAAATTTATACAAATAATACAAGGAAGATAAACTTGTATTATTCAGATTGTGGTGTGAGAAGCTGGAATGGATTGAAGACAAAGTTCAATAGAATGAGAAATTCTCAGCCTAGGGTTATTGTGTGAGGTAGCTACAAAGTCCTAAAAAGGTACAGCTAACAAAGTTACCCTGCTCAAAAAAACCTTGATTGATCCCAGTTTATCATGATATGCACCATGTTTCTAAAAGACTGAAAATCCAAAATAGAGTCTTGACTCAATCAGACACCTGAAGTTGGAGTATATGTTTTCTCATGGTCTCCATATGCACTTTGGGATTTGAAATTGATATTGCAGAGATTGCCCCTCAGACCTACATGATGCCTTACTAACTTTAATTGCTGACTTAAACTTTTATGTAGATAAATTATAATTAAGTCAATGTGATCAATTTCCTTAACTTGTGGATTTCCACTTACCAAGTTGTCTGTCAAATTACCTTTATCTCATATATTCATTTTGGCATCATTATAATTTTAGTGTTCTAATAATTCTTGATACTAAAAAAATGTCAGGGATATTAATATACCCATGGTTCCCAACAACTTTTGTTTATTTGATTTTAATTATATACTGTATATCTGGTTTCTTATTAGCTTGTGCTTACACTTACAACCTTTAACCCTGTCCAAATATACCATTACCTCTTCTTGCTCTTCTTCATCATAGTCCTCTTGATCTGCAGCATCTTCCTCCTCTTCCTCCTCATCACCTTCTTTACTTTTCTCTTTATTTCCTTCTTTCTCTTCATTTTCCTCATCTGATTTTTCACCATCACCGCTCTTTTCCAATTCCTGGCATAAATGACTTTCATTAAGTTATATGTAAGCCAGAAGACTTTGATCTTCTGCTCACCCTCAAGAGAACACAGTCACCTTATTGTATTCCTCCCCATCACCACTCTAGACCACTACCTAGAAAAGTAGGTGAGTCATGGAAGGAGGAAGTCACTCTTCCGTCAATACACTAATATTTTCCTAGAATTTATTATTTCATAATATAATTGGGTGTCAGGAAATGCTGATTTATCAGCTCTAATGCACAATGTTTTATTTTTATGATTTCCATCCTACCTCCTTCTAAAATATTGAGTTGATGAAGTTAATGGAGAAGAAATTTCAGAATGTTAGTTTGCTTTCCTTCTAATGCAAAATGAAAAAAGATAATATAATAGTAACATTTTAAAATGTCTGTTTTAGTTTGTAAGTGGAGTCATTTAAAACAATATCAAGTCATCTCAGGGTGAATTATTCTATTTGCAGATTATTCATATCCTCATTCCTGTTCTCTTTCATTATTTAGTTTCCATTTCCAGAAATGTTTGCTTCTTAATACATCTGGCAGGTTAAGAAATTAGTTTAAAACTCAAATGACAGCTAACATTAATTAGCACTTGCTGGAACTCTAAGAGTGGAAGCAAAGGCAAGATGCAGAGGTAGAGAAGTTTTCGTTGCCTTTTATTCACCCTCTTAAAATCACTATGCTACTGTCTCAAAATACACAAATTTAACTTGAAAATTATATCTTTATGTTTCTATTATGACCATCAACAGTTTTTCCATTAGGCAAAAGGTGACCTGGTTTCATTATTGTAACTACCCATTCTCTAAACTCTTCTATTCTTATTTTGCACACGTTTTCTAGAAGGTAGGTACAAAAATCATCTTACATATTAATACTTATAATTAAGACATAAGATCACTTTAGCTAAGATGTTATTATTCTTCAACACTAATCAGAAGACTACTTCATAAAACTGAAAATATTCCATCTTATTATGAGACATTTGCTTTGTAGATTACATATAAATAGAAAATATGTTTTGCATTTGGAGTGAGTATAACTAGCTATTCCTGTATTGGTCCTTGAATATTTTTAAAAATCCTTTAATTACATTCATATCTGAATTTAAGGAAATCAAAGGCAATAGAAAAATTATATCAGCTAGCCTCAATCTCTAAACAGAATTCAAACTCTCATTCCTGTCTGCTCACTCCATTCAAGAAAAATAATTAAGACTAACATAACAGGCATAAGGTGATTTGCCTTCATGCTGGTATCTGAAAAGTTATGCTATTAGCTATTATTTCCTAATTAGTAATAGAATTAAACTGCTTATGTAAAAACATATTTAAATATAAAATAAATTCTGTGCTATGTAGAGATTAAGAAACTTCATTTCCATTATTGTCATTTCAAATATATTTAAATAATAACCTCAACTATATTTCTACCACAGAGACCCAACTGAAACACACAAAATACTTAAACAGGTTAACAACAGCAGATTTATGCAATAAAAAAAAATGATTGCAGGGTTATACACAATGTTTTATTATTTCATTCTTTTTGTATTAATCTAGTTTTTTTTTCTTTTTTTTTTTAAAGATTTATTTATTTATACAAGCACTGGGTACAGTCAGAAGCGCGGGAGGGTGAGAGAATTCACCAGAGCCAGAGCGGAGAGCAGAGCAGGCAGAAGGACCTAAGTACACTGCTGAGGGGAGCAGCGGGCGGCAGGAGAGGTCTGAGCGCCATGTGGGACCCTCCTCCAGTGGCCGGGGAGCAGCAGGGGATCGAACCAGCCTGGGGAAGCTTCGGGCAGCTTCTCAACCCAGCACTCAACCGCTGCGCCACCGGGGAGGCCCATACCTTTTGTATTTAATATTTTATTTTATATAATTCTTACATCTTTTTTCATCTTTGCACAATGTATGCATTTTCATTTTGGTTATATTCCCCATACAATTGCACCCCACCCCCCTTATTTTGACTCTAGTCCTTCCTTTCCCTGCCCCTCTCTCCCCTCTTACCAGTGTGTCTCTGGTTTATAGTTGCTTGTTGATTTTGATTTTTACTTTGTATTGATTAGTCTTTTTCCTGGTCTCTTACTTAGGTTTTCTAAATTCCTGCTATGAGTGAGACCATCCGGTATTTTTCTTTTTCTTTCTGACTTATTTCGCTGAGCATGACTCCTTCTAGCTCCATCCATGTTGCTGCAAACTGCATGTGTTTATCATTTTTGATTGCTGAGTCATATTCCATTATGTATATGTATCACATCTTCTTGATCCAGTCATCTATTTTTGGGCATTTGGGTTGTTTCCATAGCTTAGCTATTGTAAATAGTGCTGCTATAAACATAGGTGTGCAGGTGCTCTTTGGAATTACTGTTTCTGTGTCATTTGGGTAAATACCTAGGAGTGGAATTGCTGGATCATATGGAAGCTCTGTGTTTAGTAGGTCAAGAAATATTATGAGATTTAATTACTTACCCTTACTACTTTACCTATTTGTTTTAAGAATTATGGGACTATATAATTTGAAAATCGTTAATTTGGAGCCGGGAACTATTCTTCTAACATAAATCCTATGCTGCCACCACAGAGTTCCCTCTATGTCATGAAAAATAAGTTCAAATACTAGTTTGCTGCTGTCTGATTATTCACACATTAATCATATGGTACAACCATATGTCACTCCCTCTCCAGCCACAGAAATTTTATTATAATAAAACCTGCAACTGCTTTTGCTAAAGAAATGAACAATAACAAAATCATCTGATTTATAATTTTGCTTTATAAAAACTGCCAACTGATTGGGATTTCTAGATTTGAAACAAGAAAAATGTAAATATTATAAACATAGGGGTGCAGGTGCTCTTTGGAATTGATGTTTCTGTGTCCTTTGGGTAAATACCTAGGAGTGGAATTGCTGGATCATACGGAAGGTCTATGTTTAGTAGGTCAAGAAATCTCCACACACCTCTCCATAGTGGTTGGACCAGTTTGCACTCCCACCAACAGTGCAGGAGAGTTTACAATAGCTAAGCTTTGGAAACAACCCAAATGCCCAAAAATAGATGACTGGATCAAGAAGATGTGGTACATATACACCATGGAATATTACTCAGCATTCAAAAAAGATAAACACATGCAATTTGCAGCAACATGGATGGAGCTGGAAGGGATCATGCTCAGCGAAATAAGCCAGAAAGAGAAAGAAAAATACCGGATGGTCTCACTCATAACAGGAATCTAGAAAACTTAAATCAAGGACCAGAAAAAAGAATAACTATAAGAAAGAAAAAATCAAAATCAACAAACAACTATGAACCAGAGACACTTTATGGGGGTTGGGGGTGGGGAAAGGAGGGCTTGGGGTCAAAATAAGGGGGTTGTAATTGTATGGGGAATATAAAAATAAAATTTAAATAAAAAATAAAATAAAATAATATCAAAAAAAGAAAAATGTAAATATTAAAATTTTTAAATGTGTATACTGAAAGGGGGATTTGAATGCACAGGAAGAAGGAAACACACTTTGTGTGGTGAGAAACCACATCCAGAGAGCCCAATCAGTCTTTCTTATAGCAAATATTATCTTACCAACTTCTTTCCAGGAAGCTTTTGTCAGATCTGTGTTTAATCAATGCAAGTTGGCTAGTCCTGCAACCCATCCATCATTCCACTAAAGTTAAACCTGACAGTTATCGCTATTCCTTGAACAATCCTCCTGGTGTTATCTTCAAATATGTTAACTACAGCTCAAATACTGAACAAGAACTAAAATGACAAAATATGAATTTCTGCTATGAAGCAGCTGTGTTAATTTTGGTCAAGCTAGGTAAGTTTTAAAGACTTAATCCCCTCACCTGTAAGTAAAGAATACTACTACTCATCTGTCTTTGTTGCTATGAAATTTTTCAGATATAATGTATGTAAATAGCTCATCAAAGAGCCTGGCACATAATTAGTTCTCAGTCGGTGCAAGGTGCTATCACTATTGTCATGCTCATCATCATCATCACCAGTGCAATGGAATATAGGCATTAATAGTGGGAAAAACTGGTATAACTTCCATGGAGAGTGAGTTGCCAGTATTTAATATTGGAAATATTTATTGGCAATATTTATTCATATTATATAATGCATGACCCAACAAATTCACTTCTGGAAATCATTTCACATCTACCATGAGAAATGACATAATTAACACGATTCACTACAGCATTATTTATAATAGCAACATTTACATGAAATAAATGTCCATTGATTTAAAAGAATTATGGATTATAGTGTAACCAGGAAAAAAAGAAGAATGATTAACATGGAACCATCTCCAGAATATTTTGTTAAGAGAGAAAATGAAAATGCTAAAGAGAGTAATATACTAACTTCTGTCACTAAAAAGAAAAAAATCTATATTTAGTATACATAAAATATGACTCAAATTAAGAAACTGATAAGCTCAAAGTGAACAGGAGGGGAAATGGAAGGCTAGAGATAAGATTGGGAGAGGAAATTTTAAGCATTATTCAGTTTTGAATTTTACACATTTTTTTTTTTTTGGTAATGGTGCTGCTGCTATAGTGGTATTGTACATGATTCCCACATATTTTTATTTCTGAAATACTAAAAAGATAAATATATAAAAATTAGTTCCATAAGATACAATTTTACCTCAATATAGTCTTCTACTCTTAATACAAGACACAGGAAAAAAGCAATTAAAAAGTACCTTATCACCAACAGGAGAAAAGTAAGAGGATTTGAAAAGAAATACATTTTGGTATGTAACACTTTCAAGTTTATTTCTCCAGCAAAATTGCTATGCAGGGGAAAAGTAGGGATATAGTGGAAAAGGAGCAGGTGACAGAAGATGAGGCGAGTTGACAGGGAAGTGGCAAAAAAGACAGGCCAAGCCCCATATTTCCTAGCAGACAATACTGAAACCTTTCTAGTTACCCTGGGTGCTGGGCTGTTATTACAACCCATAGGTTATTATAAAGTGAGTGAAAGGAAAAGTCTGAAGAAGGCAAAAGGAGGTACATTTTTCCAGTTTATTCTTAAAAATAAGAAGAAAAACCTTACCTCAATTTTTTTCAATACATCTGCAGTATTAGAGAGTGAAGCGCCTCTGCCTGTATCTTTTGCCTTTTTGGATTTGGGGCCTGCTAAGTAAAACCACAGTTAAAAAATTTTTCCATAACAGCAACTGTATATTTGCCTTTAAAAAAAAAAAATTTTTAAGATTTATTCATTTATGCATAGAAGAGCTGGGGTATAGGCCAGATGTGCGGGAGGGTGAGAGGACTCACCAGGGACAGAGTGGGGAACAGAATGGGCAGTTTGACTGAAGTACACTGCTGAGGCAGCAGCGGGCAAGACAGGGAAGTCTGCTGCGCCATGTGGGTTTCTCCCTGGCTGGCCGGGGATTGAACTTGTTCTGCAGAGGCTGCGGATTGCTTCATAGTGTGGTGCTTAACCCCTTCCACCACCAGGAAGGCCCTATATTTGCCTTTTTATATGCTGTCTAGCATATTGGTATGTCAAACAGGCAGTCACATAATTTGCAGACTGAGTTAATTTTCTTATAGAATAAACAAAATAAATTAGCACACCTCATCAATTTTCCATGATTAGGAGTAAATGATAATCACTTAATAGGATATTTTCCAAGACTGCAACTAGATTTCTTTTTGCCAATACTGAAAATTTGTACTGGTAATTAATGTCATTACAGCCAAAACTGCTAAAGCATTACCTCAGAGCTAGTAAAAAATGCTCTCACAAATCTATTATTTGCACCACCTTTTCCTGTTCACTGATCACTATATTTTAACCAGGGCAATTTTAGCAGGTTTGGAAAATAAAAAACAAGTGAATAAATATACGCACTTGACAATGGTTAAAAAGATGAGAAAGAGGGTATATTCAGTGTAACATAGCACTATCTGTGAAATGAAGATTAAGTGGTTAAATGAAACATATCCTCCACCGTATACATCTGAAAACTCAAAGCATAATAATGGGATGTTTTAATACAAAACTTTTATGTCATACCAAAAACACTGCATTCTGAGGTCATTCTGAAACTATAGGGAATAGAGAATTATTTCATATGTAGATCTTGCCAGTTAGCAAACATTATGACGTGCTACAAAATTGTCCCATTATGATCAGAAAGTACAGATCTTCCCTAAAATCAAACTAAATACCTAGAAATTACTTGTAAACAAAGAAATATATGATTCAGAAAGATTTAATTTTATAAAGATTAACATTCAGGAGCTTCCCCGGTGGCGCAGTGGGTTGAGTGCCAGGCTGTGAAGCTGTCTGCAGCCTCTCTGCTGTGCGGGTTCCACTCCGGCTGGCCAGGGAGAAACCCACCTGGCGCAGCAGATCTCTCCTGCCTCGCCCACTGCTCCCCTCAGCAGTGATTTTCACTCAGTCTGCCAGTTCTGCTCCCCGCTCTGTCTCTGGCGAATTCTCTTACCCTCCCACACCTCTGGCCTGTACCCCCGTTCTTATATAAATAAAAAAAACTTAAAAAAAAAAGTTTAACATTCAATCTACAGAAGACATTTTTATATTGTGGAAGAGGACCCAAAACTGAGGAATTATAATTTACTGTGTTATATCAAATTGCCCCAGAGAGAGGGACTGAACTCAGAACTCCCAACATATATTTAACTAATATTTTGCTCAAGCAAAAGTTACAGTTAGAGCAAATGATGGGTAAGTTTCCTGATGCCCTTGGAGGACAAAAGATTGTTTAATGTGAACTATAGCACATAAAATAGAGTATCATGTGTGAATAACCACTCAATAAATATTGAAAACATTAGCTAAGAATGTAATCCACTCACATGCTGAAATCTTTTTCTCTAAGGATCTTTTATCTAATTATTTAAAATTCATAGCATATAAGTCTGTCATATACATATTATAGAACATGATCAGGTAAATAAACTTATTAACAATTGCTAACCTCTTAGCCAAGAAAGTCAGTTATGTATACTCAAGTCCATTCAGTGTATTTTGCTCTCTATCATTCTGGTTTGTAAAATGCCTCATTGCTATATGTATAATTAAGGTAGAATTATCAAACTACCAAATTTTGTTGAAAGACTGTTTAACACAAAAACAATAACAAAAATTTCCCCCCCATTTTCAGTTAAATACATGCAAATATTTGAACTTTCTAGTTTCTTTCAACACCTTCCAGTAGCAGTTCTCCAAGAAACAATTTTTTTCAGTGAGTGGCTGTTTTGGCACTGCTTTCATATAAATCATTGAAAGTCATTTTAACAAAAGGGAGAGTATAAGCTTATTAAGAACACAACACAAAAATTATACAACATGCAATAAAAAATATTAGAGCACAATGGAATAAGAAAGTTTGTGGCTTTGGTTTTTTAACAAATGGAAATCATGACACACTGTACATTTTCACAAATGATTAATGTATATGTGAAGTTCCAGGAAAGAGCAGGCAATGGGACTATTTAAAAACATTAATTCTTTTAAACCAGATACATGCAAAAAAAATAATCCACACAGACCAAAAAACCTTCACAAAAATTAACTCAAATGCACCACAGACCAAAATGTAAAATCCAAAACAATAAAATTAAAACTAAATCAAGATGACATTGAGTTTGTTGAGGAGTATGAAGATGCAACTCCCAAAGGCATAATCCATTAAAGAATGAATTGATAAGTTGAACTTCAGTAAAATGAAAAACTTCTGCTATGTGAAAGACTATGTCAAGAATGAAAAGACAATGATAGATTGGGAGAAAACATTTGCAAAACATTTATCTGATGAAGAATGGTGTGAAATAATAGAAAAAAAAATATTGGTATCAGCTCCTGGTTCCTGGCACAGAAATTTTTAAATCCTTGTAATTTCCTAAGTGATCGAAGTACTAGGAGCATCTTTCGTAATATTTGCACTTTGAACCTGGTATCTGACACAGTTTATAAATCCCTTGGAATGTACAGGATAAGAATGTCTTTTGTTCTAAAAAGACACCTCTTGTGGGCTCCTAGCTAGTTTCAGATGGGGCTGTTGACCAGGTAAATAGAGCCATGGTTAGCAACCTAAAACTTGCAGCCCTTCTCCCATCTCCCAGTAAAGTGGAGAGTGGCTGGAGATTGAGTTAATGTTTGCTCATGCCTGTGTGATGTATCCTCTATACAAATCCCAATACTACAAGGTTCAGTGTTTCTGGATTGGTGAGCAAATTCACATATGGGAAGGAGGTACAACCCAACACCACAAGACAGAAGATCCTGTGCTGGAGACCCTTCCAGACCAAAGTGTATTTCTTCATCTGACTATTCATCTGTATATTTGAGCCTATGCTTTATCATACAAAAAACCTGATAAGGGCCTCCCCGGTGGTGCAGCGGTTGAGCGCTGGGTTGCGAAGCTGCCCGCGGCCTCTGCGGCGCCAGTTCGATCCCCGGCTGCTCCCCGGCCACCAGAGGAGGGTCCCACATGGCACGCAGACCTCTCCTGCCGCCTGCTGCTCCCCTCAGCAGTGTGCTTCAGTCCTTTTGCCTGCTCTGCTCCCTGCTCTGGCTCTGGTGAATTCTCTCACCCTCCCGCGCTTCTGACTGTACCCAGTGCATGTATAAACAAAACAAACAAATAAATAAATAAAAAACATGCCTCTATTAAAAAAAAAAAAAAAAACCTGATAAATGTAAATAAGTATTTCCTTGAGCTTTGTGACCAAAACAAATCCAAGAAGGAGGGTTATGGGAGCCCCCAATTTGTGGCCATGTCAGACAGATGTTGGGAATAACCTATGAGGAGCAGTCTGAGGAAGTAAATACATAACCTATAAGGTCTGTGCCATGAACTGAATTGTAGGATACCCAGCTAGTATTGCAGAGAATTGCTTGATGTGGACAAAAAAATGCCACACTTCTGCAGTCAGAGGTGTTGTAAGAGTAGTAGCAGCATGAGAGAAAAAGGAGAAATACATAAAGAAGTGTGCTTTTCCTATAGCCTGTTACCCCAAACATACAAATATATACAGAGAACTCTTAAAAGCTCAACAGAATAAAAATCTATTAAAAATGGGCCAAAGACCTTAACAGCTTGTCAAATAAGATATACAAATGGTCAGTAAGCATAGGAAGAGATGTTCTACATCCTATGTCATTAGGGAAATGCAAATTAAAATGAAATATCACCATACATCTATTTAGAATGGTCAAAATCCACAACACTGAAATCAGGAAATGCTGGTAAGGATGTGGAGGAACAACAGGAAAACTCTCATTCCTCACTAGTGAGAATGCAAAATGGTATAGGAACTTTAGAAGACAGTTTGATGGGTTCTTATAAAACAAAACATACTAAACACACAATCAAGCCATAATGTTCCGTGGTATTTACTCAAAGGCATTAAAATTTATACCACACAAAAACAGATGCTTATAGCAGCTTTATTCATAAATGCCAAAACTTAGAAGCAACCAAGATCTGCTTCAGTGGGCAATTGGATAAACTATGGATAATGTAATATCCAGGAAATGTAATATTATTCAGGGTTAAAAAGGAATGAGTGACCAAACCATGAAAAATCATGGAGGACACTTAAGTGCATATTGCTAAGTGAAGAAAACTAATCTCAAAGGGCTCATATTGTATAATACCAACTACATAACATCCTGGAAAAGGAAAAACAGAGGCAGTAACAATAATTAGTGGTTGTCAGGGCTAGAAGAAAAGGATGAACAGGCAGAGAATGGAGGATTTTAGGTCCGTGAAACTAATTTGAGTACTACTACCGTGGTGAACATATGTCATTATACATTTGTCAAAACCCATATAGTATATAACACTAAGAGTGAACCCCAAGTAAACCATGGACTTTGAGTAACAATGTGTTAATGTAGGTTCACTGACTGTAACAAAGATACCAATTTGTTGTGGAAAGCTGACAGTGGGATAGACTATGCATATGTGGGGACATAGAGTATATATGGGAAATCCCTGTGTTTCTTTTCAATTTCGCTGTGAATGTAAAACTACTCTGAAAAATAAGCTGGGGGGGGGGTGGGTGGGTTCCCTGATGGTGCAGAGGTTAAAAACACAGCATTATCAAGCTATTGCCAGCCCCTGCAGCATGAGTTGGATCCCTGGCCATGAGGCTAGCCCACATGGCCCAGCAGACCTTTCCTGTCTTGCCCACTGCTCCCCTCAGCAGTGTAGATCCTCCTGTTCTGCTCCCCTCTCTGTTGCTGGTGAATCCTCTCACCCTGTCACTTCTAGTCTACACCCTAGTTCTTATATGCATAAATAAACAAATCTTTAAGAAAACAAAACAAAAACAGGGCCTGAAAAAAATAAGAGGAGGGGTAAGGAGGGAATGTCTTCTCTTTTCTCAGTTTCTAAGTTCATTATTCTTATGTGGCTACTTCACCTTTTTCTCTTCATTATTTACAGCAAAATTCTCCAGAGACTCATCTATGCTAGCTGTCTTCATGTCCTAAGCCCTCATTTACTGTATAACCCATTTTCACTCTGGATTCTACCTCCAGGAGCTTTTAAAAAGCTCTCACTGATGTCAACGATGATCTACATGTCAAAAATTGGTTCTTATTTTCTACTCATCTTACTTATCCTCTAGCAGAATTGTTTAATCACCTTTAATATCACTGAGCACCTTCTGAAATCCCTGCAATTCTGTATTCTCTTGCTTCTGTCACTCCACTTTCTTCTGTCACTCCACTTTCCTCCATTGCCTTTCTTTGCTGATTTAATTTCCTCCATCAGTTCATTCAATTTTGGTCTTCCCCTAAACTCCAGCTTAGGTCATCATTTCTTCTAATTCTCTAATTTCATCCTGAATAATCTCATACTCTCACACAGTTTCAATTATAATGTCTATGCTGATCACCATCATCTCTATGTGGAGGTCTATCCTGAAAATATGTTCCCAACAACATTCACCTTTTTATTTGTATAAATACCACCTCTGGATTGAATTCATGATTGTCCCTCACAAACCTGGTCTTTCTCCAACAGTCCTTCCCCAGTCTCATTTTGGTAAATTGCTACTCATCCTTCAATCGGAAGTCCAATTTCCATTTCTCAAAGAACCCTTCCCTGACCTCATCGGACTGTGTTTTTGTTTGATGTTTTGATTCCATTTGACAATAAACTCCATGAGGGAAACATTAATCCTACATTGCTTACTGCTTCCTCTTAACAGTGTCTGGCAATAGTAGATGCTCAATTTACTCAGTGGGACTACCTGAGAATAACAAGGAAACATTTACTTTGATATTTTATGCAGAACATAAAGTTCTACTATATAAGTTCCAAATTTTAAAATGTTTTAGTTAAAAAACAAATATAGCCAATAACCACTAAAAAAAAAAAATCAAATATGCTGGTGAAAATAGCTACATAATAAAAAAATATTTTCTAGCAGGGCAAAATTCCATCAGGAAAGAAAGGAAAAGCAGACAAATAAGCAAAACAAAATAAAAAATCAACAACAAGAAACGTTAGCAAAATTATCAAAATGCTAAATATTTTAAGAAAAATAATTCAGAACACTAAGAACAACTTCAGGTTGGCAATTCCATAGTAAGCAGAATCTAAGTACTAATCTTTCCTGACCAGGATTATTATTACTATATAAGATAATGTTACCTTTTTTGCACTTTTTTCTTGGCATCATCTCTCTCGGAAGTCTTCTCCAATCTGTAAAGCAGATAAATATAAAAATTATAGCTTTCTTTAATTATCAGTGACACCGACTATTTAAAGACAATGATAGTGCTCGTGCAATGAAACTAAAATTTATTAATGCTTGACTGTACAGATTTAGCCCGAGAATCATAACATAACAGGTGGTGACATATTTTCTCCTATGAAGAAAAAAGTTCATTAAAGCATTGTGCAATAGTGCTATAAAATTTCTGCAACCTTCTTTTAACAATATATATAATACTTACGGAGTAGATTTTAAAAACAGAAATTTTCATAATAATGATGATGTAGAAAAATATTTGTGGACATGAAAAGTTACTCAAGATTTATTGTTGAATGAAAAATGTTTCCAACTTTGATGGTGGGTGTGGAGTGGTGACATATATCTGAGGAGGTGTGAACTTAGTCCCCTAAATAATATAGTGTTGTAAAACCAATCTTACCTCAATTGAAAAACAAGAAAAATATATATAGAATTCCACCAAAACAATAAACCTAACAGAAAATATTTATATGCACATATGTACACATATTTATACTTGTGCAAAAAAAGCTCTCAGTTGGGAACAAAACATTAGAATAACCCTTTGAGAGAGAGAGAGAGAATTTACAGCTGTTTTTCTTGAAAATTATTCAGTCAATTAATAAATTAAACAATTATTTTGTAAGAATTAAATAATTCTAATAATTACCTGAAAACTTTAAAATTAAAAACATAAATAACTGTGGAAAAGTAAATTCCCTATCATAAATGATTTTGTCTGAGTTAGCTAAACATTTCCTCCAATTTTTCACTTTCTTTTAATTTTTAAGCATAGCATTAATCAGAAAAGTGGAGCAACATAAAACTGGATTAAAAAACATTGTTAATAAAACAAAACAGTATACTTCACACAAAACATTTACATCTCAAGTAAATTTACCTGAATGAATAAATCTTTCTGTGAATACATTTGTTTTTATAAACAACTCATAGAAGTTCGTGAGAAAGTACGTAAAGAGAATCACTTGGGAGATGCATATTTATGAAATGGAAGAAATGAGAGATCTGAGAGAATTATTTCCAGAGGAATCCAACCTTATTGATGATCAACACTGCAAAGAGGTAGCTACAACTATAACTCATGAAAGCAATAATGCTACAAATGCCACTTATGCTTTAATATAAAGGCAGCTTGTACAAAACACCAAGGAAAAAGATGCCAGTGAAAAATGAATTAAATATGAGGAGATCTGGGTTCTACAGTACTGTCCAAGTTGCCCTGACAGATCACTTCATTTCTATAGTAACTGCTTTATATCTGCAAAATAAATAAGTTGGATAAGATCTCCTTTCCAACCCCTTCTACCATATCTGTAACCAAAGCATATTTATGAATGTTGAAAATGAACTCTCTAGATATGGTTCTGTTGAAAAGTCATCTTAGCAACAAAAAATAGATTGTTAGCTAAAAAAAAAAAAAAAAAAATCCATGAGCTTGGCTTAAAATGTTCTTAAAACTAGAATTGTTTTCTCATCAAAAGCTATAAAAATCAGAAGCACAGGAGTGAAAACTATTGATACTACAGATTAAAACTGTGGTTGTGGCAAAAGAAACTGGAAAATCAGATGGTTTGGCAAGTACAACTTTATTTAAAAAAAAAAGTCTTTCAAGAACTTCCACCAAAACATTCAACTATTACTTGTTACCATGTAAAAATATTTTCATCTTAGTTTCCAAATATTTACATTACTAAATAATTACAAGAAAAGAATCAGACTATTTTCTTTTGAATAAAATAGAAAATTTGTTCTAAAATATATGGAGTAGTGAGAGAACCTTTATAAATTATTTTATCATTATTCATTTTACAAGTACCTGGTATCCATTCTTCTTTGTAAATCTTCATATATCTTTTACTATACCTTTCAATATCTAGAAACAAAAAGTATTCATCAGAAAAATCAAGAATAAGCCTGAATTTAAGCCATTCCTATAAAAGAAAACACTAGATAACGTCTTTTATTTTATGTATAGGGAGTTTCCTTACATTTATACATAATGTGTTCCTGAAAGGTGTACCGTAATGCTTAAACAGATAGTAAGAAGTATCTGGGTATTAAAAGCCAAGGGTGAGCAGAGACCTAACCCTAATTAAGGAAGTTAGAATCAGACAACCTGACTACATCTCTGAGAATATACACAACAGCCCAAAGCCAGATGAGGGAGCCACTTAAAACAAGGGCAGGAAGGTCTACTTAAGCATCTTGTATTTTATTCTTCTGACATGGCTTCTCTCTCCCAATCTTTAAATTTTGTATAACTAGGATACATTAAGTAAATGGGGAGGGAGGGCTGTTTGTTCACTTCCAACACATAATATGCATAAGCACTTAGCTCCTCAATAAGCTACTTTTCATAACGCTTTAGGGAGGGTAATGGGGAAAAGAGTATGACCTTGTAAGGCTGGTCTTGATGGGCCATGAATGAGCAAACTGCACACATTTCAGGATGAATACTGCAGAACCCTTCTGAGAATGCCCAAAATGGGTGGCTCTTGCTTCTACCTTGTTCACTGTCACAAGAAATTCCTTTGATAAGGGTCCAAACCCTTATTCAGCAGCATAAGTTGGCAAGCAACACCATCACACAATAGCTTGAAAAATGGTATATAGCCATGAAAAAAGAAGATAATATAAAGATGAAAATATTAAAATCAAGGTCTAAATATATACTAATTTTTCATCTGCATTAAAACAATGCTTGCAAATAATACAAGGATCGTGGTTTTAGAGAAGATAACTAAAATAAATAGTAAATCAGAGAATAAGAGACCAGGCTTTTCTGAGTATTATCTGTTTGACTTCAGATTAAATGTTTAATTTACTCTCAAGTTTTTCATCTGTAATGAAAAGTCAGCAAATGAGATTCCCAGCATTTGTATTTTAGAATGTTCTCCAAAACATATCCCATATTTAAAAAAAATTAAACTTAAGTATATCAAGAAAAAGTTATTACCATTGGTTATCTAAGTTCAATGAATGCCTTCTTATATTTTAAAGTTACTTAGAAAGAATTTATAGAATGGGAGAAATTGAAAACCAATTATTGAACCCAATTAAAAATGGGCAAAAGATTTGACAGAATTTTTCTAAAGAAGATACACAAACAAAAAGAACATGACAAGATATATGTGCAGAAATTGGAACCCACATACATTGTTGGTGGGAATGTGATTTGTACAGTCACTTCAGAAAACAATATTACAGTTCATGAAAATGTTAATATTGAGTTACCATATGACCCCATGATATACCACTATCTAGAATATGGCTCTCTCTGACAGTTGGGTACTTCTGTCCAGTACGGCCAATTCTTTTTCAAATATGGTGTGCATATTACATAAAAGCTAGTTATATGTATATATACACATATACATATACAAATATATATACACAAACAGGTTTCTAAGTATGTACTATGTTATTCTATATATACAATTATATATATATTATGTAGAACTTTAGATGTATAAAAAAGCTATATTTTCAACCATAGTTTTATTTAAACACATTACAACAGGAAGGACAGGTAAACAATAAGACTTCAAGAGGAATGTTCTATCACTTTGGAAATTTTTTTTTAAAGATTTATTTATTTATTTATTTATTTGTTTGTTTATTCATTTATTTATTTATTTATTTATTTATACAAGCACTGGGTATAGTCAGAAGCGCAGGAGGGTGAGAGAATTCACCAGAGCCAGAGCAGGGAGCAGTACAGGCAGAAGGACCGAAGTACACTGCTGAGGGGAGCAGTGGGCAGCAGGAGAGGTCTGCGCGCCATGTGGGACCCTCCTCTGGTGGCCGGGGATCCAACCGGCGCTGCCACCAGGGAGGCCCCACTTTGGAAAATTTTATATTAGAGTTTTCTCCTGAGAATGGCACATATTAAGAAAAAAAACTAGCAACAACAAATGTTGGCGAGGATGTGGAGAAAAAGTAACTCTCCTGCACTGCTGGTGGGAGTGCAAACTGGTCCAACCACTATGGAAAGCTGTGTGGAGATTCCTCAGCCTGCTAAAGATGGAGCCTCCTTATGATCCAGCAATTTCATTCCTAGATATTTACCCAAAGGACACAGAAACATTAATTCAAAAGGGCACCTGCACCCCTATGTTTATAGCAGCACTATTTACTATAGGTAAGCCATGGAAACAACCCAAATGCCCAAAAATAGATGATTGGATCAAGAAGATGTGGCACATATATACAATGGAATATTACTCAGCAATCAAAAAAGATAAACTCATGCCATTTGCAGCAACATGGATGGAGCTGGAAGGGATCATGCTCAGTGAAATAAGCCAGAAAGAAAAAGAAAAATTTACCAGATGGTCTCACTCATAGCAGGAATTTAGAAAACCTAAATAAGGGACCAGGAAAAAGACTAATTATAATAAAGTAAAAAGCAAAACCAACAGGGGCCTCCCTGGTGGCACAAGGGTTAAGACGCAACCTATGAAGCTATCTGCAGCCACTGTAGCACAAGTTCAATCCCTGGCCAGGGAGCAACCCACATGGTGCAGGAGACCTCTCTTGACTGGCCCGCTGCTATCCTCAGCAGTGTACTTCAGTCAATCTGCCTGTTCTGCTCCCCGCTCTGTCTCTGGTGAATCCTCTCTCTGCCCCCCCTCCCCAACACCTCTGGCCTATACCCCAGCTCTTGTATGCATAAATAAATAAATCTTTTTTTTTTTTTAAAAAAGCAAAATCAACAAGCAACTATAAATCAGACACACTACAGGGGCGGGAGGAGAGAGTAGGATCAAAAAAAGGGGGTGGGAATTGTATGAGGACTATAACCAAGATGAAAATGCACACATTGTGCAAAAATGAAAAATGATGTAAAAATATATAAAATAAAAGTTTTCTCCTGAAAGAAACCGTAAAATCTGTATATATCTAAGTACTTTTATGTGCTGTTATCAAAGACTAAGGGCCTCTTGATCCAGGTACCACTCTCAAAAACCACCAACAAAATTATGTTCTTAATGTTTCCTGTCAAGAATACTCACATAAATGTTCTAATGACATGATATGCTTTTAAATTACACGTGTATTTCACATTTAGTGAATTGAATCTATCCCATAGTATAGATAAAGGACCACTTTAAAAAGACTAAGGTATACCCTACATTATTACTTCTTCTAACTGGAATAATGTTCATTAGTTCACTTAGTCTTACTTTTTAAAATCATTAAATGATGGATTTACAACTATGGTTTTAAAATTTAAATGAAGTTATCTAAAATGCTTCTTATAAGTATGTATAATATTACTATGTAAGACTTCCTCTTGACTCTGAGCCAATTTCAAGTCTTTTAAAGAGAGGGAAAATGGAATGCATTTTTAATATTAATGGAATGATGTAACACCATATGAATTTCTCATGTTTTAATTATGTTGTTTTGACAACTCAAGGATAATATTGATTTCTCTAATTTCAATATTCAGGGGCAGAAACTGAAAATCAATATAGTTCAACTATTCTAAATAACTACTTAGGACCGGGTGTGCTTTCTCTAAAACCACTTCCTTTTTACCATCTGAGACTATCAGCCCTCTCCACTGTCTCTATTTTCTCTTCTATACCCTTAGCATAACCAATGAATACATGATATAGAAAAGGTAAGCCAAAATATAGTCAAGTCCTTTTAGAACTTTAACTAAAATATTGAATCATCAGAGACCTGCATAAAGATGTATGCATGTTGATAGTAATCACAGCAGGAAGGAAGAGAAAAAACTAGAAACAACCATATATCTAAAGCAAGAATTAGTTACAATTAATAATAATATATCCAGGGGCCTCCCTGGTGGTGCAAGGGGTTAAGTCACAGCACTGTCAAGCTATCAGCTATCAAGCTATCCCTTGCCAGAGAGCTAACCCACATGGCACAGCAGAACGCTCCTGTCTCTCCTGCTGCCCCACTCAGCAGAGTATTTCATTTAATCCGCCTGTTCTGCTCCCCACTGTGTCTCTGGTGAATCCTCTCACCACTACCACCTCTGGCCTGCATCCCAGTTCTTGTATAAATAAATAAATAAATAAATAAATAAATAAATAAATCTTTTAAAAAATCATATTTTCCAAGAATACTAAGTATATATAAAAATGTTAGTAATAGAGCCTCCCTGGTGGCGCAGCAGTTGAGCGCAGTGGTTGAGTGCTGGGTTGCGAAGCTGCCCGCAGCCTCTGCAGCGCCGGTTCGATCCCCGGCTGCTCCCCGGCCACTGCAGGAGGGTCCGGCATGGCGTGCAGACCTCTCCTGCCGCCTGCTGCTCCCCTCAGCAGTGTACTTCGGTCCTTCTGCCTGCTTTGCTCCCCGCTCTGGCTCTGGTGAATTCTCTAACCCTTCTGCGCTTCTGACTGTACCCAGTGCTTGTATAAACAAACAAATAAATAAATAAATCTTAAAAAAAAAAGTTTGTAATATATTATAGAGTAAAAAAGGAAGATACAAAGTAATGTGAATCCAACTTTATAAAAATATACATACAGAAGTGAATATTTAGAAAATATACATCAAATTTCTTCAGATATATATTATAGGTGATTTTTACTGTTTATAATTTTTGTTTTTCCTAATTTTCACTGAACACATAAAACTATTATGAAAGGCAGTTTGAAAAATAAATTATCAAAAAGTTTAAAGTATATTTTCTGTTAAATCAACATTTTTTTCAGGGTAGTTGATAATTCCTGATTGAACAATCAGCACGAGGTGATCATATATATATATATATATATATATATATATATATATATATATATAATATACAAATTTAAAGTTTGTGCCAAAATATGGTTTTTTAACCAGAGTTCATTACGTACCTTGCTTTTCTTCAGTTGTTTCTATAAAATAAGGCATTCTTTTCATTGTTTCTCTCAGTTCCTGTTTCAAGGCCAGCATATAATCTTCACCTTCTCCTGTTTTCAGTGGCACTGGTTTATAATCTGTATCCTGTTTAAATCAAGAGATGATGGGGTATTTTTAAATAAATTTAATATTTAGGGCCTCCCCAGTGGCGCAGCGGTTGAGTGCTGGGTTGCGAAGCTGCCCGCAGCCTCTGCAGCGCCGGTTCGATCCCCGGCTGCTCCCTGGCCACCGGAGGAGGGTCCCATATGGCATGCAGACCTCTCCTGCCGCCCGCTGCTCCCCTCAGCAGTGTACTTCGGTCCTTCTGCCTGTTCTGCTCTCCGCTCTGGCTCTGGTGAAGTCTCTCACCCTCCCGCGCTTCTGACTGTACCCAGTGTTTGTATAAATAAATAAATTCATTTAAAAATAAATAAATAAAATATTTTAATATCCCTTTTGTCTATTGTCTAGAAAATGGTAAATTTATCAAAAAACAACACTTTATAGCCAGTAAGTTTTATAATCAACTTAAAAGATAATGACCTTTGTAATCTATTTAACTTTTTAGCCAATTCCCTACTTTGCTCTTATTTTAGAGGTAGAAATGATGCTTAACTTTCCGAGTAATTTTCCTACTGACCACACCAGTATTAATTGTGCTATACAGTCTGTTGACTGTGATTCCATATTTTAAAAATCAAGACACCCAAGTAAGAGTAACTGTTTTAGTTTTCCATTAACCTCAATTATCAGAGACGGTATTGGCAGGAGCAATATGTGTAAAAAGAAAAAAATTACAGAAGCTATCATTTATCAAGTGGTTATTGTGTCTCAGACGTACTCAATATTCAACATCCATGATCTCATTTAAAGTATTACTATACTTTAAATATTAAATAAGTATTGCTATATTTCCCACTTTACAGTGAAGAAATTGTGATTGAGTTTCACAGAACAAATAAATAGAAAAACAGAGTTTGAATCTACATTTTCAATTAAAAAATTATACATATACACATGCATAGTTATGAAAATTTATTATTTAGAAAGTGAGTCCTCTAGGTATATGGTAAAGACATTTCTGGTTTCAGCATATAAGGTACATTTTCAAGAAGTCACTCTGAATTTATTAATTCATACTGTAACTATTTTTTTAAAGATTTATTTATTTATGCATACAGGAACTGGGGTACAGGCCAGAGATGTGGGGGGTGAGAGGATTCACCAGAGACAGAGTGGGGAACAGAACAGGCAGACTGACTGAAATACACTGCTGAGCGGAGCAGCAGGCGAGATAGGAGAGGTCTGCTGTGCCATATGGGTTGCTCCCTGGAGGGCGGGAGATGGAACTTGTGCTGCAGAGGCTGCAGACTGCTTCATAGTGCGGTGCTTAACCCCTTGTGCCACCAGGGAGGCCCTGTAACTATTTTTTGAGTGTCTACTATAATCAGATGTGATTAGACAAAGGAGATACCATGATGAACTATTCAGAGTTCTTGCCTTTATGGAACTTGCATTCTATGCAACAAATACATAATAAACAAGTAAACAAATGAGGTAATATATAAATAGTGACAAATGACACGAAAAAAGGTAAAGCAGGATAAACAGTGGCTAACAGCACATGGTAGTTGGAAGGTGGTAAGTTTTGGACAGAATAAGCATTCACAATCACTTGGGAAGTCACATTTGAGCAGAGGATAAAATTAGGAAGACGTCCATGCAAAAACTGGGGAACAGATGGCCCCAGTCAGGGAAATCAGTGGGGGGAATGGCCTGATGGAAACCCAAGGTCAGGATGGTTCCAGAGAAAGGACAGAAGCAGAAAAAGGTACAGAAAGAAAGATCAGATAGAGTCATCCAATCCGTAGTAAGGAATCTTGATTTTATTCCAAGTATAACACAACAATATATACATAGTTTCCCCAGTTTAGATGTAATCTCACACATGAACAGGAAACTATTTTAAAAGAAATCAATGTGAACTGACATTATGCCAATACATGAGCTATTTTATTTTTAGTTAAAATATCTCGAGCAAAAAAAACAAGAGACTACTTAAGTAAGAAATGTAGACCTCCAGATACATTTGCCCAGGGTCCTCTACTTATATAAATCTTACAGCAAAGGACTTTTCCTTCTGAAATAGGGAAAAGTCCTACTTCTGGAGGGAGTGGTATCTGGTTATTTAGGCCTTTGTTCATTTTTTTATACCTACAACACATGCACATTTGGAACTATAAGAAAAAGTGTTAAGTATTATGCCAATTAAATGTGCAACATTATCCATTAAACTTAAAAATGACTTTAAAATAGAAATGTTTAATTTTGGTAAGTAGTAACAATATTCAAATTAACTAAAATAGAGAAATAAGCAAAAAACTGTTCAGAGGGAAAGAAAAGGACAAGTGATATAATAAAAACAAAGTTAAATTTTATAGATGTAAATTAAGAACAAACTCACTGAGTTAAAGTCTGATAAAGTGGGAACTGAGAATCACTATAAAATCTCACTTTTAAAAATATTATTTTAATATTGGAATATACTAGTAACAGCAATGGAAGACACAAGAAATGAAAAAAAAGAATAAAAGGTCTGCCTAGTTCATAGAGTACTGGAAAATACTGTATTTTGTTTTCTACCTTTCAGGAAAGTGGTTAGAAAACAAAAGATTTAGGAAAAAACAGAAATATTCAAAGGTAAGTAAAGCATTTTCTTACACTTTAGGATATCATAAGGATATATATTCAAGTCATATATAGAATTTTTAATTTTCTCTAAAATATGAAAAAAAAACCACAATGTGAAATAATATACTTACAGGAAAAAGTGGAGGTGGTTTCAATACTACATCAGGTAACTTTTCACCTCTGCTAAATCCAACTGCCTCAACATTAAAAGTATAAGCAGCACGTCCTCTTCCTTTATTCCCAGCCATCAGAATCATGTATATATCAGAAAAGAGGGCAAATTCTGAAAGATAATATTTTATTTTATATTTATGGCTTCCTCTGATCATTATTCTTCTATTTTTTCATTTGTATCATTTTTATTGGATATAACATTTTATTTTTTTTTTTAGATTTATTTATTTATGCATACAAGAGCTGGGACCCAGGCCAGAGATGCGGGGGTGTGAGAGGATTCACCAGAGACAGAGTGGGGAAAAGAACAGGCAGACTGACTGAAATACACTGCTGAGGGGCGCAGCAGGAGGGTCAGGAGAGGTCTGCTGCGCCATGTGGTTGCTCCCTGGCAGGCCGGGGATTGAACTCATGCTGCAGAGGCTGCAGATTGCTTCATAGAGTGGTGCTTAACCCCTTGAGTCACCAGCGAGGCCCTGTATGTATGTAACATTTTAAAGTAAAATATGAAACTCTAATCCTTAAGAGGCATGGCTAATTTTGCTCCAGAAAGCAAAATTTGTTAAGGAAGCAACAGGTGATAAACTGATTCCTGAACTCCCTCCATCTGATCATGTGTGGCAGGTGAGGTGATGTGGCTTCAACCCCTTCATCCAGGCTCCAAGTGGAGGGCTGACGTGGGACTACTTAGAGATACTGCCCCAGCCATGGCAATGCCAGTTGATGCAATTCTCTCCCCCCGCTGTGGTCTGGCAACAAGAACTAACCTACTTCAGAAGAGTGGACTAGAGAAGACCAGGCTGATAAGAGAGGACACCCTCCTTTTTCATTCATTAGCCTTGAAGACCATCATCAACCACATATACTTTAATTTTTTTAAAAGATTTATTTATTTATGCATACAAGAGCTGGGGTACAGGCCAGAGGTGTGGGGGGTGAGAGGACTCAGCAGAGACAGAGTGGGGAACAGAACAGGCAGACTGACTGAAATACACTGCCGAGGGGAACAGCGGGCGAGACAGGAGAGGTCTGTTGTGCCATGTGGGTTTCTCCCTGGCCGGCCGGGATCAAAATCATGCTGCAGAGGCTGCAGACTGCTTCATAGTGCATTGCTTAACCCCTTGCACCACCAGGGGAGCCCCATATTTTAAATTTTTAATTGATTTATTTAGCCTATAATTTGAATGTTAGAAAAGATTCTTGAGATCTAGTCCAATGTCCTCCTTTTAAAAATGCAACAGATTTAGTAAGAACCTGATTTAGTCTGCCCACGCTAAGAAAAACAATTACTTAGGTTCAGAGAAAATATATTAGTTAAATGAAACTTGTCCTCTCATCAGCTTTGGGGAGGGTAACAATGTAACATATGTAAGTCCAGTATTGAATTTCTGGATAATCTAAAATATGATTACACTGTAGGGTGTGAATTGAGTTCACAGTGTATTAACAGGAACTCCTAAACTAGGATCCTTTCACTAAAACTCTGCATTCAACTGTAGTGGTGACTCAATGTACAGTCTTTAAATCACCTTTCCCACTGAGAATACTCTGGGATCCACGAAGGCAACATGGCCTTCCATAAAACCATGACAGTCCTCTCCCTCTTTTTCCTTCTCATCTATTGGTTGACAAGACAAAGTGGTTAAGCATTGTCCCTACAATGCTTTTCAAATTTTAAGTTACACATAAAAAATCTACGAGTCTTGTTAAAACACAGATTCTGATTCACTTGGTCATGGGCGGGGCCTGAGTTTCTGCATTTCTAACAAATTTTCTAGTGCCAATGCTGTTAGTTTAGACCACACTAAGAGTAGCAAGGCTGTACAATCACCAACTTACCATATTTATGGACATGAGTGATTATATGCAGGAGATGTAGTTTAACACATTGCTTTATTTCTCTGTATTTTCCCGTAAACAGGAAGACTAGAGGATTACTTAGATTGGGGTTTGGTTTTGCAAGAGTAGTTTTTCCTACTGCTTCCCATCAGGATGCACATGACATCTCTTGGAGGTGTTCTCTCTTTCAGCTGCTCTGGTGCTGTCAGTCTTTCATTTAGTACCAAGTTCCCTATTAGTTCTCACCTAGTGATTTTAGTAGTCATTAATGATTCAGTCCTAGATCATTATTCATTATGGGTTGTATTGTGGTGATCTACAACGTTTAGAATTCTTTCTTTCTTAACTGGAATTCTACCTGCAATCAAATCTTTTCATCCACTATTTAATGACCCTGGAAGACAATCCATACAGGAAACACACACTTACCTAATAACTAAGCTTATTCCAACCATCTATAATAAAAGAGAAGGAAAATATCCAAATGGCCTGGTTTCAACTGCTGAGTCACTAAAGCAGATGCTAGGCCTATGAAAAGCAGGTCTCTCAAGTATGAAAATTGCTGAGCAGGATTCCCACCTTCACTTTAAGAAACTATCTTTCGGAGTCCAGTAGGTATCAGTGAGACCAATAGGCTGAATTCCAGTATGGGATTTGTCTCTAATAAAAGATTTAAAACAATTCTAGGTATATACCACACTTGCCTAGTTATGAGAATTATCTGGAGGACTTGTTAAACACACCAAGTCTCGGGTGATCCTTACATTCCCAAACTGACTCTACCAGAATCTTGGAGGTTAGTCCAGGGAAGGAGTTTGGAAAAGAAATCCTAAAAAGGAGTACAACAGCTACCACTGCTTGATGGAATATCCCTTAAGAAACATCTAACTCTGCTGATACTAAACTTCCCTATTTATCAAGTAACATTTGGGTGTATGAATTAACATAATTAGTGAATGTAGTGCCACTGGTAGAAAAATCAAGCCTTTCTTGATACACTCCTAATAATTACATAGTATCCTGGCCTATAAAGTCATCTCTTTTACTTTGGTTATTATGAGTCAGTTTTCCTGTACCAACAAGAGCAGCAAAATTCATTTTCTTCTCTTATAGTGTTGAGATTCATGGGAAAATGGTGCACAAGCATCACTCTTTGAAATCCTTTGATTCAATAACCCTTATTCCTTTCTCATCCTGCCAAGCCTTTTGAATAAAGAGGTTTTTTTTTTAAAGCCAGTTTCCCCATCATTCAAGTCTTCTTTTTTTTTTTTTTTTTTTTTTTTTATTTTTTTATAGAGGCATGTTTCATTTATTTATTTATTTATTTAGTTTGTTTGTTTGTTTTTTGTTTATACATGCACTGGGTACAGTCAGAAGCGCGGGAGGGTGAGAGAATTCACCAGAGCCAGAGCGGGGAGCAGAGCAGGCAGAAGGACCGAAGTACACTGCTGAGGGGAGCAGTGGGCGGCAGGAGAGGTCTGCACGCCATGTGGGACCCTCCTCCGGTGGCCGGGGAGCAGCCGGGGATCGAACCGGCGCCGCAGAGGCCGCGGGCAGCTTAGCAACCCAGCGCTCAACCGCTGCGCCACCAGGGAGGCCCATTCAAGTCTTCTTTACTTCATATGGATCAAATTCATTGAGTCATTCATTCAACCAATACAGAGATTGCAGGCATTATGGTAGAACCCAGAGAATATCGAACTAAACCAGATCTCTGCACGTGGGGCTTGCATTTCAGTAATATAAAAACACTAACAAGTAAACAAGAGTGTAACATAATATTATGTGCTATTGTTGTGGGTTGAATTGTGTCCCCACCAAAAATAATGTTGATGTCCCAGGAATGTGACCTCCCTTATTGAAATAATCTTTGCAGATGCAACAGAATTAAGATGAATTAGGCTGACCCCTCTTCCAATGATGGATGTCCTTAGAAGAGGGAAATTTAGACACAGAGAGTCACACATACGGAAAACCCTATGTGAAGATGGCAGCTGAGACTGTGGTGCTAGTGCTGCCAGCCAGGAACAGCGAGGAATATCAAGAACCCCAGAAGCCAAGGGAGACAAACAGATTCTCCCTCAAAGACTCCAAAGGAACAAACCTTGCTGACACCTTGATTTCAGATTTCTGACCTCCAGAACTGTGAGAGGATATAATTCTGTTATTTTAAGCCACACAGTTTGTGCAATATGTTATGGCAGCCTTAGGATATCAATACAGCTTTTGAAGAAAAATAAATCATGTCAAGGGCAAAGAAAATAACAAAGGGGTACAGTGATGCCTTTTCACACAGAAAGGTGTTTCTGTAGAGGATACATTTGAGCAATGTGCTGAAGAGGACCCATGAACCACGGATGGAGGGATGGGGTAGAGATGGCAACAGAAAAGAAGAACAATAAGTGAAGAAGAGGAAACCACAAGCTGGAAGCATCTAAGGAACAAGAGAAGCCTACATAGTTGGTAGGTCCGAGGCAAGGAGAGCTGGTGGAGACCAGAACCTATGGAGTACTGTGCGAGCTGTGGTGTGCAAGTTGGTATTAATCTTACTTGTGATGGAACCTACACTCACAAAAACTGAAAGGCAAAGTTCCCAGTCATCCTCAGTGGCAAAATCCACTGGCTTTTTTAAAAATTTTCTCAGGCCTTCCTGGTGGCGCCATGGGTTAAGCACTGCACTATGAAGCAATCTGCAGCCTCTGCAGCACGAGTTCGATTCCCAGCAGGCCAAAGAGCAACCCACATGGCGCAACCCTGCATCTCTGGCCTGTACCCCAGCTCTTATATGCATAAATAAATAAATCTTTAAAAAAATTTTTTTTCTTCCACTTTCATTTTTTAAAATCCACTGGCCTTTTAACCTTTTTCATGTGTTTGTATTTTTGAAGAACATGGGTCGTTATTTCTTCTCCTGAAACTCTCTCTTCCCTAGACTTTCGTAAAACTTCAAGGTCTTACACCTCACTGATGATTTTTTCATCTGCTTCTCTTCATAAATGTAGGATATCCTTCGGGGGTATAGCTCAGGGGAAGAGCATTTGACTGCATAAATGTAGGATATCCTTAAGGTTTGATATCTGGTCTTCTGGTCTGTGTTTATCTTTGGAAATGTACTCACTCTCAGGGTTTGATGACCTCTTCCACACCATTACCTCCATCACTGACCTTTATCCTGAGTTTCAGCCCATTTTCTTAATATTAAAAGACTACTCGCACAGCAACTTAAACCTGAAATACTGAGATCACCTTCCCCCCACACTATCTAGCTTGCCTTACACATCTAATGTCCCTACTCCTATCCAGGTATGCTGTTTTCCTAGACACCAACATTTGAAGATTTGAGACAAGCCAGTATTGATTTCTCATTCTGTTCTACCTCCCCTATCAAATCAATCATTTAATTCTTCCTTCAAAAATCCCCCTTCCTTTACTTTTCCTCTACCCATTCAACTCAGGCCATTTCCACACATTTGATTCACTGCAAATATTATGGTATCTCTCACTCTTCCTGTTAATTTATTCATCTGCATTACATATCCTGAAGCACAGTTTTGATTATGCCAGTCCTCTCATCTTCTTTCTTGTCTATAGAATTAAATACAAATCCCTACTCCAAGATTTCAGAGTCCTTTTCTGTTGGTTATAGCTACTCCTGGACTCATTCTTCTGTTACCATGTCTTGATATTTCCTCCCACTATAACTTGTTCCCCGTCTCCCTGCCTGGCTGCATCCCTTTTCACCTTAGGGTCCTACTGAAGTCCCTCAATATACACAAGAGTCATTGCATCCCACCTTGCTCTTGGAAAGATTCCTCTGTTAAATGCAATTTTTAAAGCTGATGTGATACATATCGCTATACTTTCCTATTCTACAAAATATAAAGGCAATGTCCATTTTGGAAAATAGGACTTTTCCAAAGGGAGTTTCACTTATGTTTAATGTTTGTTTGCTTGTTTTATTGTATTAACAGTAGAAATTTTATATCTCCCACTGTCTAGCTTAGAGCTCTTTACCTAGTAACAGTTCAACAATTAACAAGTGTTGCAAAGGATGTGGAGAAAAAGGAACCTTAAACTACTGTTGGTGGGGATATGAATTGGTGCAACCATTATGGAATGCCATCTAGATTTACCTTAAAGAACTGAAAAATGGAAATACTGTATAACCCAACAATGACACTCTAAGGTACATATCCTAAGAATATGAAATCTTCAACACAAAAACCCACATGTTCCATACTGTTTACAGCAGCAGCTAGGATATGTCCATCAATGGACTACCAGATCAAGATGTGCTATATCCACATTATGGAGTATTAAAAAGCCATAGGAAGGATGAAAAGTAGCCATTTTCAACCAAATGAAGAGAATTTGAGAGAATTATATGTAGCAAAGTCAGAATAATATAAAACAAACACTGGCTATATAAATAGCAGATAACTCAATAACATAATACACATTCAAAAACTTGTAGACATCAATAAACATCCTGAGGGCTCTAAGGTTAAGAGAGTGAAAGAGCCAAAGGGATGGAAGGGATAGTGGTTTAAGAAAAAAGAAAGAAATGGGGGGAATGTGATGGATATAAAAGAGTGATCTTGTGGAAATCAGATTACTAGACTAAAGAGTTTGCTTTCACTCTGGATGCAAAATTTCCTTGTTACAGTTTCCTATAATTTTCACAACCTACCCTGCTATACCCAGCTACCAAGCATTGTCAAAGCAACACCAACTCAAGCAGCTGATACCATTTCAAGATAAGAATTTGCAGTCAGTGTTGGTCCAGAAGCTGTTTACTTGCTTCATTTGGCCTCCTTCTCATTCATCATTGTAGCTGACTTTTTAGCCACTCTCTTCAGTCCCTTTGCAATGCAAACTTATTTACCTTTCCCCCTATCTTCATCTTAACGTTAGCCTCCAATAACCCATCTTACTCACTGGTGCTACATTAGTGTCCCTGAAGCCCACCTTAATCAATGCCATTTCACGAACATAGACCTCACTTCAAACTTTTAATAACTGAGAATAAAGTCTTCCGATGACCAATACTTCTATATGCACTTGATTCCACCTCCTTTTATCCTTCCTGAAACCCCATTTCATGAATTTTTCAACCTCTAGTTCCAACATCTTCAATCTCTTACTCTCCACTGACTATTGCAACTCAGCCTACTGGTTAGCTCAAGTCTCCTCATCCCCAGCCAGGCAAAAATACTTTTAAAAATGTAAAATCATCTTCCATTTTGGATGCTGAACATTGCTATTCAGAATTTTTCTGAGATGTTCTTCTTTGATAGGTATAGTTCAAACACCTAAGAGTTCAATTCAAAAGTCCACTCTAGCCAACTATAAAACAATTTCATGGCAGTGGCTGAGCTAATCTCTGAAATTTCTCTTAGCTCTAATTTTATGAGTTATGATTGTGGCTTAAATGTATTATCTTCTACATCTCACATAGTCCCTAGCATACATTAGCTCGGTAAATAAACTTACAAAAAAACTTAGCACAGAAGTTATGGGGAGGAACTGAAAACCAGGTCACAGTATCCTGTCCTGATGAGTGACACTTATTGTGCCCCAGAACAGGATAACCAATGCTAACTTCAGCAAAAAAACTATCAGCTGTGTCCTCTCTCACACGTTCACCTCCCTTCACCTCTGTTTTCATTCAGGCCCTTACTGTCATGGGGGCCTCTTAGAAAGTAAAGTTCCCAAGGCCAGACTCCCACTTTCAATCTATTCTCCACTCATCTTTCTAGAAAACAGCCTTGATGTGTCACCTTTCTTCTTCTTCTTTTTTTTTTAATATTTATTTATTTATTTATACAAGCAGGGGGTAGCGGGAGGGTGAGAGAATTCACAGAGCCAGAGCGGAGAGCAGAACAGGCAGACCGATGAAGCACACTGCTGAGGGGAGCAGTGGGCGACAGGAGAGCTCTGCATGCCATGTGGGACCCTCGCGCGCCACTGGGAAGGCCCCTTTCTTCTTAATTAACAGAACTTTTGAGTTAACTTTCTGCCTCACCTTACAACGGTCCACACCCTAGCCATATCAACTCTGCCAAACCAGCTCTTGCAGGTAGTGTTCCTGCTGTGTCCTTTCTTCTACAGTAGATCCTGTGCAAAAGGTACTTCCTCTGTTACCATCTCCTCCCCACTACCTGGATGTGTCTCCCTTCTGTTACCCAAGTACTACACTACTTTTATTATCCTTTTAAAAATCTTGTTGTAATCGTCAGTTCTTGTTCTCAGTAAGCTTTTTAATTATCCATTCATAAAGTGTACACTAAGCTCTTTCTGGTAAGAAAAGTCTTCTGTGTACTGGGAATATAATGGTGAACAAAACAAAATCTCTGCTCCCATAGAGCTCAGCCTATTATGGGAAATAAAAAAAAGCACATATATTTTATAGAAAATGTCAGGTGGGGATCAGTGATAGGAAGAAAAAGCAGGAAAAAGAAGTGCTATTACAGAAAGAGTGGGTAAAGAAGACCTCCTATATTTTAAATATTTGAGCACAAACCTAACAAAAGTAAGGAAAAGAGTCATGTGGGGAACTAGAAAAGGATATCCAAGGGGAAGTGTGATAGAAGCAGAGGGATCTGTAAGTGCAAAGGCCTCCTTGAAGAACTACACACCTTCTTATACCCCATCACTTACGAGAACATGGTAAAAGTCCAACAAATATGGGATGAATCATTGCTGAGCTCATGGTCTAGTAAGGTTATCACCACATTTCACCTCCAGCGCTCGTCTCTACTCAGAGGAAAAATACTCAACTACAGAGAGCTCTGTGCTTTCTGCAAATAGTATGTTAACAGAGGTCTTCTAAGACAGCTCAAATGCTACTTCTCAACAATCTCTTCCATGTGTAACTTAAAAAAAAAAAACTTCTTTGGTATACATCCCATAATGCTCTGTTTAGCAATCATGTGCATACAGACATCACTTTCCCTCAAACTCTTGACAACCCAGTTTATGACTCTTTTAAACATAGTTTCATTCTTCATATATCATGTAGCTCAGAGATTTGCACATAAGGGTAGCCCTAAAAAGAGTGACTGGACAACTTCTAACTAGATCTGCAATATATTCAGACAGGTTAAAACCCCATTAAAGGTTTTCAGAGGTGTAGAATACACTTCTCCTTCCATGAGGCTTATTAGTAACTACCACAATAAGCAATTTCATAATTATCTGTATAATGCTGTCTCATGGGTCTCTTTATAATTTTTCCTGCCTGAGTAGGGAGATTAGTTCAGTTCTCAAGGGAACGTTTGAAGCCTAAATGGATGTTTCAGTAGCTGGATGTGCAAGGTAGGAAAAGGACATGGCATGTAAACTGGGGTGATTTGTGTGACTGTTGGGGCCACACCCAGTCATTATCCACCTTTTCAGTCCTCACTAAGTAGGGCTGCCTCTGCCATTCCTTAGTTGAACCTTTCTACCAACTTTCTTTGCCCTCTTCCAAGAGGAAACTAAAACCCAAGAAGTCAAAAAGGCATAGGGGAGGAGGAAATACGGAATTTAACATTTAAAAAGAGTAAAAACAAAAAAAAAAAAAGAGAGAGAGAAAAAAAACAAAAACAAAAACAAAACCCCCTACCCCCAGGATACAGGGTAAAATGCCCAGAGTTAAGAAAACATACTGATTATCGGTCCTTGGCAGCAAATCTGCGGCAGTGACTCCTGCTTGAACCATTCAATATAATCACCGGATTTGAAAATCTACCATCAGTTAGTAGCATAAATTTCCTTCTCTCTCACAGTACACAGTCCCGGGAAGTGGAGAGCAGATAAAATCTGGAAACTCCAAGATTTCAAAAGATTTTGAAGGGATCAGGAGAAAGAGAGGTAAAGCTATCTCCCAAGCCCCTTAATTCAGAGGCGCTGTAAGGAGTTTCTACCCCAGACGTCTCCCTCCTTCTCAACCAGCCCCCCTTTAACTCCCCTCTACCCTCTCCACCCCCTCCCCAGCCCTCAATGGCTTCGTACGTTACCTGCTTTCTAAGTCTCCAGGCTTGGACAAAAGTGTGCAGCCGCAGCGCTGGCCGGCAAGCAAGGGGTGCAGACACACGGACCCGGCCGGTTCCACCTCTGGAGAAGCGCGCTCCGCCCTCCACGCGGCCGCGGAGCCGGATTCCGAGCCGGGGCCGCTGGCCCCGCCCACCCCGCGGAGAGGCCCCGCCCCCGGGGCGGAGAGCTTTTTAGCCCTTGGCAGGCGCCGTAGCCGTCCTGGCGGCCGGGCCGGACCGCGCGCGGGCTGGGAGTGCGCAACGCGGAGCGCGGCGGGTGGGCGGGCCTGGCTCCTCCCTCGCCTGTCGCCCCGCCTCTGCGGTGAGACCCGGAGTTGGGCAAAGTGTCGCTTCTCCTGGGCCCACGGTCTCCCGCAGTGGCCACTGCATTAACGCGCCCCGGGGCCGCGGCTTCCTAGGGCTGCGCCCGCTCCCAGCGCCGCGGTGCGGGCCGAGCAGCCTCTGCTCTGGGCGGACGCTCCAGGCCGCGCGTCGGCTCATCCTTCCTCCTAGTTCGACCCCGCGTCTCCCGCCCCGCGTCGCTGCGCACCCCCTCCCTGGCTGCGGGCGGACAGCGCCACAGCGCCGCAGCGCCCGGGTCTGGACAGCCTGCGGGGAGGCGCACACCCTCGTCCACCGCTCCCGGCGCAGCCCTGCCCAGCATGTCGGCGCTCGAGTGGTACGCCCACAAGTCCCTGGGCGACGGCATCTTCTGGATCCAGGAACGCTTCTATGAGTCGGGCAACCGCGCCAATATCTGGCTGGTGCGCGGCTCCGAGCAGGATGTGGTGATCGACACGGGCCTGGGGTTGCGCAGCCTCCCGGAGTACCTGTACTCCTCCGGCCTCCTGCAGGATCGCGAGGCCAAAGAGGACGCGGCGTGCCGGCCACTGCTAGCTGTGGCCACCCACGTGCACTTCGACCATGCCGGCGGCCTCTACCAGTTCGACCGGGTGGCCGTGCATCACGCCGAGGCCGAGGCGCTGGCGCGCGGGGACAACTTTGAGACCGTGACCTGGCTGTCTGATAGTGAGGTGGTGCGGGCGCCCAGCCCGGGTTGGAGGGCCAGGCAGTTCCGAGTGCAGGCGGTGCAGCCCACCCTCATCCTGCAGGATGGTAATATTAGGGCCCTTCTGGGCGCGCGCGCTCTCTGTAAGGGAGGGAGAGATCTGGGGGAGATTGGGGGAGAACGGTCCAAGGGATGCATGTTGGGAACCTGCGTAGCAGCAAGGGCTCGTTTTTGTCACAGCGCAGAAATACTATTATTTCTTCCTTCCTGGCGTGAAAACCCTCTCGACCAGAGAGGCCAGGCCATCACATCCTTCCCTACTCAAGACTGCCCTGGCTGGCATGGTGTAGTAGCAGTGCCTTTTACTCTGTAAAAGCTGGGCCCACCCCCTAGTCAGTTTCCTGTGTGAGATGCAGTAGTAACACGACGGAGACTTGCGATTAGGAACGTCTCATTCTTTTCCTTAGCACCTGTGTGACATTTCTAGGCGCTTTTCTGGCGAGACGACTTTTAAGGAATGACACCTCACTTAGAGCGCATGTCATGTTCTGTGCTTTTGAGAACTGCTGACTTCACCCACTCCATCAATGGTCCCTGCTGAGTATGAGCAATTCCCACCTGTAGGCTTAGAAAGCCATTTGAGAGCAATCTGCTTGTGTTTCTTTATCTTCCAGATAGGATTCTGTTCTTGGTGGTCTCAGGAGAGAAATAGCTTGATAATGAATATAAAAAAATAGAATATGTCTGAGTCTTACATTATGAGAGGTATCTTGTCTGGCTGAACGAAAGGCCTGCGGAAGATTAAAAAGGAGGTTGTTTCCGGTGGATGGTAAAGTATGTGCACTTTGGTATGGGCCTCTGACTCTGTGAAAGACAGAATGGAGTTCTGAGAGAAACTAATAGAATAGGGCTCCATTTCTGCCAACCACATGCAGGCACTTAATATAATTGAGCTAATTAGCCACAGCAGCAATATTTGTATGTTAATTTTTTGGGAATATTTTTGTTGATTTCATTTCATCTTTACAACACATTTGAAATGAGGCCACTAACCTCCAATTAAATGACCTGCTGCATTCACTGAGCAATATAGAGACAAAAGATAGGATTTGAGCCAAGGCACAATAGATCAAAATATACAGATCACACATAAATTCTGCCCCATAAATAAATTATGACAATTTTGTGTAGGATGTGAAATCCCCCTCTTTCCTTTCTATCTTGAAACCATCTTAATTACCAATTTAATTTATTAAAATGTTCCTATAAGAGATAGAAAGATCCAGTTGCTATGGTACAATGAGATTCACTTTGACCAGTGTGACAATGAAATATTTTACAAAAATCAATTCAAACTACAGATGAGATCTTCATACTTGAAATATAAAAAACAGAAAGCAAGACTCTATATTTCACAACCCACCAAAAAAGTGTGCATTAAAATTTTAAATCTAAAGATTAAAAAAAAATGCTTAGATGGAATTCTTACATTACCCGACAATTGGAGATAAAAGATACATTTAACATTAAATGTATTTTAATTTCTGTATTTCTTGATAAAATTAATACTTTTTGGAGGTCTCTGTCTGTGCAATTGATGAATATTCAGACTGAATCCTGGCACTCAGACCAAAAAATAATATTTATGTTAGTATTTATATAATAAAGTGAATAAATTACTTTTGATTTATTTTCTTTTGCTCCTGTGCCAGCAATAGGAAATGATGGTGATAGAGTGATAGGAATTTTATATATGAAGAATTCAAGCAGGCCTGAATATCATGCCTGAGGTCACATAGTCAGTGTGAGGAAAGCTGGGACTAGAATCCAGGTTTTCTAAATCCCAGTGGATGACAGAATTACAGTATTTTGGAACTGCAAAGTGTCTGCAAGCTTCCTGTATGATGCATTAAGCCTTCAGAGGTGTGAAAAGAAAGCTTAATATTTACCAAACGCTTTGAAGGTGATAATACTGTGTTAAATTAAAAGTTGTTTTTCATTAGGAGCTGGATCTCTTACCATCTCAAATATTATCTGATTTCCTCTCTTCTCAGGAATATTAATTTCCTGTTTCTTCTGAATGGTGTGTTCTGCTAACTTACTATTATCATAATCAGATGCCTAGAAGGAGATATAAAATATTTATATTAAAATTCATACACAGTTATGTACATATTTGAACAGTATATATCCAAACCACATAAAGTCTTCATTGTTTTAGTTAGCACATAAAGATGCTGACGTCATTGTTTTTTTGCATTTCATTTACTCAACTGAGGTTAATGTTCATGTTCGGCTATATAATCTTTTATATGTACATTTCTTTAATTTTTACGGTTTTCCTGGATGTATAGTTTAAATAACAAATAGTTCATTTAAATTGTCATGGAGTATCATAAATCTGTACTGTATCGCTAACCCAAGCCGACTTATAAATGAGGGACAAGGAGGACAAGGAGAGATCATGATACAGTGCATCATCTAATGGAAAAACAGTTGGCTCTAGTAGTAGTGAAAATAGTATCTTCCTATAAGAAGATGATAATAAACCTAAGGTTGATATGGCATATTTTCTTGAATGGGCACATGTTATTTTTACCTATTTTCATAGTATTAAAGTGATATAAAGTGCAGGCCTTTTGATCTCTATTATAGATGTTAAAAAAAAGTTGTTCAAAGTCACCAAGATGTTAGAGCAGTTGTTTCAAGGAACTTAAGCCATTTAGGAACAGAAATGTAGATTCCAGAAAGGTAGCAAATTGAACAAACACATCTATAGATAATTTGACTTCCACCTACGCCCCCATACTCCCCCCCCCCCCCAAAAAAAAAAAACTGAAGGAACCATGGTGTATCATTTTAAGTATAAATCCACATTGGATGCTGGAGAATAAATGTGGTTACTTAGCAGGAATGGTAAATCAAGAGCCAATCCCGCGCCGCAGGAACCCAGCTCAGAAATTAGCAGTAACTGGTTCTTTAGTAGGGAGAAGGGAGGAAAACTAATATAGATAGAATTTGTTGAAAGTCATTTAAGTAACTGTTAAATCTTTAGAAACCTCCCCAAGTACATGTTCCTCCCTCCTTCCAGTTTGAATACCTCTCTCCCTTCCAGTTAATTTGTTCTCTGGGGAAAGTAAAAAGGCTTTCTTGGTTGAGGAATGCCAAGAATTACTGAGCTCAGGAGTTCAGTATGGGAAATAGGAGGAATACATACCTACAAACCCATTAGAGATATCCAAACGATTGTGTGTATGTAAAAAATCATTACTAGTTTCCCAGAGGATGAGAGCCAGATCATTACTTCCCCCCTACATTCCAGGTAGAATATTTAAAAATCTTATATGAAAATTTGCCCAACTCTAGAGGGAGATTAAGATGCTGATGTCTAAGAAATTCTTGGCCTGATCTCTACAGTGAAACCTGGGTCACTAGGTCATGTGCATGTGCTTTAAACACCCTTTATCTCCCCACACCCCCACCCCGCTGCCCCGTTAAATAGGTAACCACATATGAAAAATCTGAGAAAATCTCTAACATGAGATCAAATATTAAATAACAAAACAACTTGAGAGGGAAATACTAGCATTAATGCCATCAGGGGTATCAGATGCTATTGCATTTATGGTATTTATGAGACAATAGGATGCTTTAAAAAGAACAGAACACTATCTTTAGTGGGTTGAGGAATTTCCACACAGCTCTCCATAGTGGTTGGACCAGTTTGCACTCCCACCAGCAGTGCAGGAGAGTTCCTTTTTCTCCACACCCTCGCCAACATTTGTTGTTGCTAGTTTTTTTAATATGTGCCATTCTCACTGGTGTAAGATGGTATCTCATTGTAGTTTTGATTTGCATTTCCCTGATTGCAAGTGATATTGAACATTTTTTCATATGATCCATATGATCCAGCAATTCCACTCCTAGGTATTTACCCAAAGGACACAGAAACATCAATTCCAAAGAGCACCTGCACCCCTATGTTTATAGCAGCACTATTTACAATAGCTAAGCTTTGGAAACAACCCAAATGCCCAAAAATAGATGACTGGATCAAGAAGATGTGGTACATATACACCATGGAATATTACTCAGCATTCAAAAAAGATAAACACATGCAATTTGCAGCAACATGGATGGAGCTGGAAGGGATCATGCTCAGCGAAATAAGCCAGAAAGAAAAAGAAAAATACCGGATGGTCTCACTCATAGCAGGAATCTAGAAAGCCTAAATAAGGGACCAGGAAAAAGAATAACTATAAGAAAGAAAAAATCAAAATCAACAAACAACTATGAACCAGAGACACACTATGAAGGGTGGGGGGCGGGGAAAGGAGGGGTTGGGGTCAAAATAAGGGGGTTGCAATTGTATGGGGAATATAAAAATAAAATTAAAAAAACCAGAACAATAACCACACATGTACACATTTAAAATATCAGAAATAGAAGATATGGCTGAACAATATGAAAAAAGAACAGATAAGCAAAATGAAAATTAGTACATAAACAGTAGAGAACTAGTGTGAAAAATCCAACATTGGCATAATAGGTGCATAGACAGAGATAATTCATAAAAATATCCCACAATTGAAGAGTATAAATTTCCATAGTGAAGGGCCCATAGAGTTCCTAGTATAATGGATGAAAACATCCATGAAAACATCCAGGCACATTATTGTAAAATTCAGAACACTGGGATCAAAAATTAGTCTACAAGCTTCTGAAAATTAAAATAAAAAATGGTGATTTGTGCACATCAGAATGACTGAAGCTAGAAAAAGAAAGCACAATGCCTTATTTTAATAAAATTGTTTTCCAACCTGGAATTCTGTACCCATTCAACTATCAAGTTCTCAAAAAATTATATCCCAGTGCTGTCACTTCTACAAGTCTTGTTAAAGTTCTTTTAAAAGGTCAGTTAAGCTGCTGAGGCTTTTGGTAGTTAAAATGGCTGGGGTTTTGGCAATTAAACCATTGGTGATGAGGAATGTCTGTGGAGAGCCACCAACTTGCCACCAATGGCTTCAGCCTGGACCTTGGTCACTACTTAGTTGCAGCTATCTGGTCACATGCCAGCCTGTAAATGTAAATATTTCTTTTTGTCATC